GCATGTAAACAATGTATCTTGATGATACCCATTGTATACCTATCTACCTACTATTTTGTGGTGCTGGGCATGGAACCTAGCCCCTCATGCCTCTTAGGCAAATGTTCTACCAACCAGTCCCACAGGGCTTTTGATGAGAAAGGTAAATTTTTTGGGTTTTGTTTTTTATTATTTTTTTAAACCATAGACTCTATTTTGGCTTGTAGTGTTGTTCTGTTTGTTTGCTTTTCCTGCATCAAATTCTAAATGGCTTACATAACCTGAGTTTTCCCTCTTCTCGAGAGTTCTGGGTCACCCTTTCTTTCCTTCCTCTCTCTCTCTCCTTCCCTCCCTTCCTTTTTAAAATCAGGGTCTCACTATGTAGCACTAGCTGTCCTGGAACTTGCTATGTAGACCAGGCTGGCCTCAAACTCACAGAGATCTAACTGTCTCTGCCTCCCGAGTGCTGGGACTATAGGTGTGTGCCACCAGCCCAGCTAGTTAGGATTTCTATCGCTGTGAATAGACACCATGGCCACTGCAACTCTCATAAAGGAAAACATTTAATTGGAGCTTGCTTACAGTATCAGAGGTTTAGTCCATTATCATCATGGTGGGATATGGCAGCATGCAGGCAGACATGGTGCTGGAGAAGGAGCTGAGAGTTATACATCTTGACCCACAGGCAGCAGAAGGAGACTATGTCCCACACTGGGGGTAGCTTGAGCATAGGAGACCTTAAAGCCTGCCACCACCCACAGTGACACACCTCCTCCACAAGGCCACACCTACTCCTACTATGTCATACCTCCTAATAGTGCCACTCTCTATGAGCCTGTGGAGCCATTTTCTTTCAAAACACCATACACACATGTTTAAAATGCCACATGGGTATTGCTTTGCCTGAGGGCAACAGTCACCTGCTTGGTGGAATGTCCCATCCACCTAAGGCAAATCTCTTGTCTCCAGGGTCAGACTGGTTCAGTTCCGAGCCATTTCTGAACCAGGCTACCTCACCAGAAGTTTAGGGTGTTTAGCACCTTGGAGGAAAGTGGCACAAAGAAAGGCCTTGGGGCCTCTGCTCCCCTGTGTAAAGGGAAGCCTTTTCCTTGAGAGAAGCCTTCCTGCCAGCCTGGTTCCAGAGCTGCATCAGTCCCAAATAAACACACAGGAGGCTATATTAATTATGAAGCTGTTGGCCTTGCTTGTTTCTTACTGGCTAGCTCTGACTTAAGTATTTATCCCATAATTGCTAATCTAAGTATTTATCTTACTGGAGAGGTTTCCAGGCTTCCTACCCCATGGCTACATCTTGACTTCCTGTTTCTCCTACCCAGAGTCCTCCTGGATTCCTAGTCCCACCTATCTTGGTTTCCTATTGGCCAACAGTGCTTTATTGACATATACACAGGACTTCCCCATCACCTCTGGCCATTGTCCACATTGTCTAGATCAGAAGCAGATGCTTCTGACACTCTGCCCAAATCCCATGGCCCCAGACACAGGCATCCACAGCCAGGCTGAACTGTGATGAGTGGTCCCCAACCTCCTGCCCAGGCAACACTGTCCAGCAGCTCCCACCCAGGTCTAATGCAGGACAGAGCAAGAGCCCCAGGCAGGGTGGGTGAACCTGATATCCCAAGGGCACACCAGCCTGGGACATTGTCCCGGATCATAGGCGTCCCCAGAAACCAACTCATCCTGGGACAGTCAAGAGGCCTGGGGCAGCAGTCAGAGGCCAGCTCCAGCTTCCTCTAACAGTCTTGATATGAAGCACAGGTTGTCTCACATGGACATTTCAGTTCGTTTTCTTCTTTGCAAGAGTTTGAAGCATTGGGCGGATGACATTTAAAACCCAAAGAACTTGATCTATCGCCCTGTGTCCCTCAGCCTCTGTGGGCTCATCTATCACACAGATCAACAGTTCCCCTCCCCAGCCACTGGCTTCCACTGCCCCGGGAGGCTATGCCTGGACTGAGATGAAGACTCCATCAGCTCTTTAACAGTCAAATCAAGCCCACAAGCGTGGCCACTGCACCTCTGTCTCCTTCCTACTTCTGACCCCATCCCCTGCCCCCCCATCACTGAGTCTTTCCTTCTCTCCTGGCTGGCCAGAACAGCACAGGGATCTCTCCATCATAACTTTCCCTGAAATTACTCCAAGCTCCAGACCTGGAGACCTTGTCCTTGCCCAGGCTCAGGCCCTCAGATGGCCACCTTTCCCGTCTTTTCTGTTTTGACAGGGTGCAGGCTACTCTGGAAAGGCTCACATCCTAGGGAGCCCCTGGGTACCAATCAGCAGGACCACGGGTCACCCCAGGTCCAGGCTCCCCGGCCAGCGCTTTCTTCTCAACACACGTGTTTTCCTTATTTAAAACAGGACGGTGGGCTAAAAGTTCCCTGAAGATCTGAGAGCTGAAGAGGGAAAATCACCATGTCAGCTGGCAACCATGGCTCCAGAAGGGCATTGTCCCCAAAACCTGGTGGGTGAGCAGGGCCCACGTCGGTGGTGGGTAAGCTGGCAGGGCAGTAAAGTCCCGCACGCCCCAGTAGGAATTCTCCAGCAGAGTTTCAGTTTGTGTTGGAGGTGACAGGAAGGTCTCAGTGGAGGTCAGTTCCGGCTCCCAGCTAGACTCGAGGGCAGGCAGACAGACCATAGATTAGGCCTGCCACTGCAGCTCTGGTCCAGAGGAGGACAGAGCCAAGGTGACTCTGTGATGGTGGCTCTCTGCCCAGCCCCAATAGCCTCACCTCTCTTGATTCCCAAAGAGACAGAGAGACTTGGAAGCTAGGCTTAGGATCACTCACATGGGAGGGTGACGTGTCACCTCCGTTAGCAGCTTGTCACGGCAGAGTGTGTTGTGTGTGTTTGTGTGCGTTGTATGTTTTGCATACATCATATGCTGTGCCTGTGGTATGTGCACATACGCACGCGTTGTGTTTGTTTGATGTGGAACGTGCACGCGAGGTGAATGTGTGAGGTAAACGTCTTATGCATCTGTTGTGTGATGTGGAATGCATGGCGGGACACATGTTTATGGTGCGCACTTGGTGCATTTGTTGTATGCGGCGTGTTTGGTGTGTGTGTGTGTGTGTGTGTGTGTGTGGACAAGTACACATGCATTATCATTGTACTGTAACCAACCTTTGTCAGTGCTGGTCCAAAGAGGCCCTGAGGCCAGATCTCTCAGGTGCCTAGACTCTAGGGTAATGACTGTCACAGAGATGCTGGTTATTCATCCGAGTTTTTCCAGGACTGTGGCTCTGGTGGTGTTTTGGAAGCTCCTGCTTTAGGGCTTTGTCCCTGTCAGGCTGGTAGGGACATCTGGGGTATATCAGCTCCCTCTGGGTGAGGACACAGGGTTCTCAGACCTCACCAGGTCACCTCCCTGATGTTGGCTCTGGGGATGAAGCTACGCTCCACATTGCTCAAGCCTTTCCAGTTCACAGCCACCCCATCCTGTATTCTAGAACAGTCTCCGAGGGAAGGAGGGGCGTGGTCCTCTCTGGAGATGGTACCCAGCCCTTTAGTTGTGTGCTGACCCAGGGTCACAGTGCCCTAAGTGGGCATACACTGTCTCAAAAAAAAAAAAAAACCTCCCTTCTCTGCGTCATCTGAGCTCGGGAGAATGAAGAAGCCTCCCAGGGGAGGGGCTGGGATGAGGGCCACCCCTGCCCAGGACTGAGGCCACAACAGCAATGAGTGTCAAGTAAGGGTGGTACAAACTTGGACCCAGCTCTGAGTTCTTAGAGACGAGGCCAGGGATTGGGCTTTGCCAAGAAAGAAGGGGCTTTTTCTAATAAAGCTGGAGCCCAGCATCAGAGAGGCAGCAGGGTTTGGGGCAAAGAAGAGGGGCGGCACAGCATCCAGGTTAGGATGCTCTCTGTCCTACCGCCCACATACTCCTCAAGTGAATTAATTCATTAGCCAATCACTGGTTTTGTTTTGCAGAACTGGCGATGGAACCTAGGGCCTCTCACATGCTAAGCAGTGTTCTGACACTGAGCTATATTTCCAGGCCTTTAAGAAATGTTCTTATTTAGAGTTGGGTATGATGGCGTACGCCTTTAATCCCAGCACTCTGGATGCAGAGGCAGGCAGATCTCTGTGAGTTCAAGGCCAGCCTTGTGTACATAGTGAGTCTGAGGCCAGCCAGGGCTGCACAGTGAGACACTATTAATTTTTTTTTAATTTACAAAGTCTTTGATATGTAGCACAGGACGACCTCAAGGCTTCTCAACTCCTGGGATTACAGGTCCAACCCCTGTGTGTGTGTGTGTGTGTGTGTGTGTGTGTGTGTGTGTGTGTGTGTGTGTGTTCGTGAATGTGCCCATGTGTATCCCTCTTTTTTTTTTTTTAGTAGCAAAATAAATCTATCTTAGCCACGGTGAAGCACAAAGTACTGTGGCCAGCCACCAGATTCTGCTTCTGGAACATTGTATCACTCCAGAAATCTGCACTCCATATCCTGTCACATGAATGTATTTGACCTTCAGCAAGAGTACTACCAGACCAAGGTGCTGTCCCAGCCTCTGATGATCACCCTAAAAGTGGTGAACAGGTCTTGTCTGGTCATGGTAGGAGGAATGGTGAGAGACAAGGAAAGGATATTCCAAGGATAGTACTTGAGACAGGGAAACAATTTGTCCGGGAGCAGTGAAGCCAAGGCCTCATTGCTATCAATGGGAGCCACATGTGGGTTTTGACTTCCTCATCCAAGAACTGCAGCCTGCAGGACCTCTTTTCTGTACCCAAGCTTCACTGCTAACTGGGCAGCTTCTCCTCCCAGTTGGCACATCCCACCCCAGCCTCTCTTACCCCTCAGTTATCTGCCCTCCTTCCCACCCTAAATAAAGGGGGAGGCTCCCATCCACAGGGGAAGGCTCCCATCCACAGGCAAAAGCTTGGAAGGCAGACACACCCTCACCAAACACTCAGGTGCCTCATGCTAGGGACCCCCTGCATTCAGGATCACCCCCATCCCAACTTCCATCCCCAGCACTGAGGCAGCAGGGCAGACTGCAGAATACAGGGTTTATTGGTTCATGTTCATACGGAAACAAGAAGCTACCCCGGGATGGGGTTAGGGGAGGGGATGGGTGGAGATTGGATGCAGGCCCTTTACCAACCAGTGGGGCAGGGTCCTCAAGGCCGGAAGGGCTCACAGCTACAGATCAGGTTCACAGCCCGGCACTAGCTGCTCTGGGTAAGCAGACCTTAGATGCCTCAACTCACGGGGGTCTGGTCCACAGCTTCTGTAAGAGTCTGAGAGACAGGTTTGAAGGAGAAGTGTGTTGGCACCGTAGGAAAGGTGCTGATCGAGTCAAAGTGAGCAACAATGAAGAAAGGACAGGGAACTTTCGGGAAGAGAGTTGAGGAAGACAAACAAGATGGTTATGTTTGAATAGGGGATTCTGGGAATGGGCTCCTGAGTGGCCTAGCTTTGGGTCCTTTCCAACCTCTAGGCTCACACAGGGCACTGTCACACAAAGGCCCTACTAGGGGGTACCGGGGTCAGCATGAGGGTCTCTGTGGTCTGCTGGCTGCTGGAGGACAGTGAGCGGCCCGAGTTCTGCTGGAGGTGGGCCCGGCTGGGCAGGAAGCTGCCGGCACTCCCTGGGCCACCACGGCAGCTACTACCCAGTGCCCGCTGGCGGCCACGCAGGTACTCACGATAGTTCTTGGTGAGCAGTGTATAAAGGAAGGGGTTGATGCAACTGTTGCCGTAAGTGAGGCAAGTGGTCAGGTAGTTGACGATGCGTGCAGTCTGGGGTGCCAGTGGCATGGTCTTGTGGTACTGGGCCAGCAGCTGCCACAGCCAGAAGGGTAGAAAGCAGGCCCAGAAGAGAAGGACAATGCCAAAGATGAGGTACAGCACCCTGGGGTTGGGCAGCCGCCGAGTCTGCTTGAACGAGGCTTGCTGAGATAGCCAGTAGGCCCTGGCCAGGCGGACGTAGAGCAGCCCAATGACCAGGCCAGGCCCCACAATGCTGGTCCCAAAGAGCAGTGTCAGATAAATACGGTGGGCATGAGGACCCCAGGCTGGCAGGCAGAGCCTCTTGGGGCCCTTATGCACCAGCCGGATGGCAAGCATCATGGGTAAGGTCAGCAGCAGTGCCAGCAACCAGGTGCCCAGCGCCAGCAGCTTACGGTAACCCTTGGAGCGCTGTACCGTGTCCAGGGGCCTCAGTACTGCTGCATAGCGCTCGCTGCTCATTATGGTCAGGGTGAAAATGCTGGCATGCATGGTCAGGAAGTCCAGGCTAAAGAGAACACGGCAGCCCGCATCTCCAAAGTGCCAGTCCTTAGTGACATAGGTGGCTACGATGAAGGGAATGCTCAGAAGGTACAGCAGGTCAGCCAGTGCCAGGTTGACCACGTAGACATACATGGAGGCTGAGGCACGCAGGAATCGGCACATGACCACCAGCGTGTACACATTTCCCACCACGCCCACCACGCCCATGGCTGAAAGCACTGCCCCAATGGCACCCGTAGCCACCAGGTCTTGCAGGGAGCTGTGATCTGTTGGGCCAGTCCAGGAACCGTTGAGGGACACATTGGGGCCACCAGGCAACTCAGACACAGTGTTTCCTGACATGGCCAGCATGGCAAAGCTGGTTGTTGACTCCAGGCTCAGCGCCATCTCTGTCCTCACACTGGGCTTCTGGTGTGTGTAGGGGGGAGTCCCACTGCTCAGTGAGGAGGGCCTGTAGGAAATGTGTCCTGTGGGGAGAAGATTAGTGTCAGAGGTACAAAGCAGCTGCCTACTTCCATGCCTAGAGGCCTCTGCTATGGACACAGTCACTGTCCCTCTGTAAGAGACAAGTGCTCCCCAAGTCCTGTCCCATTGGAACCCTCAAAAGAATCCCTTTTGTGTCATCTCCCCCAGCTACACAGGGGGACGCTAGAGTCATTGGGACCTACTGTCCCCCAGGATACCCCCTGGCAGGGCTCTGGTCCCACCCCAATGCAAAACAAGACCTTTGCTTTTCTGAAAAGCTGGTCACCAGCAAGGCATATGCCAGCAGTGGACAGAGACAAGAGTCTTAGGTTCTAGATCACTTGTGTGCTTTAAAAAGATGATTCCTTCTAGTCGCAAAAATTAACAGCCACTGAGCTTAAAAGTTCAATAGAAAATTAGGTTAAAGAAAGGCCATTGGATTTTCATTTGTCATATGAAGAAAACGAACCTGGGTCCCTGCCTCACATGACATACAGTGATGGAGGGAGGAAAGTCAATCAAAAAACCGTGGGGAGAAAGAATTATGGGCCACGGCAGGAACATATTTTTTTTCTGAAAAAAAAGTTTAAATTACATTTTTACATGGTGTGCATGTTTGAAAGCATGTGTGAGTGCATGTGTCCATATGTGAATGCCACAGTGTTCATACAGAGGTTAGGGCAACCTTTGGGATTGATTCTTTACTTTCCCAGGCAGATCTCCAGGAGTTAACTCAAGTCATCAGTCTTGTAGGCAAGCACTCTAACCACTGAGTCATTTCACCAGCACACAGAAAATGATTTTAAAAACAAAACAACAACAAAAGCAAAGGCTCATTTTATAGCCATGGCTGGCCTGGAACTCTCAATGTAGATCAGAATGGCCTTGAACTCAGAGTTCCACTTGCTTCTGCCTCCTACGTGTGCCACTGAGCCTGGCTTTTATTTTTAAGAGTACACCCTCCACCTCTTTTGGATTTATTTGTTTTATACGTATGAGTGTTTTGACTTCACAAATATATGTATACCAGGTACATACCTGCCATCCTCAGGGGCCAGAAAAGATTATCAGTTACCTTGCTACTGGGGTTATAGATGGCAAGAGCACGGAATGATCTCTGTAACTCAGGAAAAGATTACTTTAAAACAAATTTAACTGGGGCTGGAGAGATCACTTCCTGTTCTTGCAGAGGAATTGAGTTGGATTCCTAGCACCCACATGGCAGCTGTCTTTGTTGGGGTTCTATTGCTGTGAAGAGACATGGCCACACCAATTCTTATAAAGGGAAATACTTAATTGGGGCATGATTACAATTCAGAGGTTTAATCCATTATCGTCATGGCAGGAAGCATGGTGGCATGCAGGCAGACATGGCTCTGGGGGCAATAGCTGAGAGTCCTATGTCTGGATCTGCAGGCAGCAGGAAGAGAAAGGAAACACTAGGCCTAGTTTGAGCTTCTGAGACCTCAAAGCCCATCCCAGTTGATGTACTTCCTCCAACAAGGCTACCCCTTCCAATAGTGCCAGTCCCTATGAGCCTATAGGGCCGTTTTCATTCAAACTACGACAGCCGCTAATAACCATCGGTAACTCCAGCTCCAGGGAATCTGATACCCTCTTCCGAACTCCTCAGGCACCAGGCACACATACATGTATGCAAACAAAAACATCCGTATACATAAATAAAACTCAGCCTTAAAGAAAATCATACACAGACCCCAAACTTCATCAAAATTAAGAACTTCATTAAACAAAAGTGAGATGAGGATATATATATATATGTATATATATATGTATATATATATCCGATCAATGGAGTAGGGAGCAATATACATTGTTAAGGACTGTAAACCACAAGGAAAAGAGTAATTACCTATTTGTGGGGTGGGGGGAGGCAAACTGAACAGGAATGTCTGAAAGAAAATACCCAAAAGGCCACAAACTAATGAAAAGATGTTCTGCACAGCTTGTCACCATCAGAGAAACTCAAATCAAAACCACAAAGAAACTCTAAGAAGCACACACACACACACACACACACACACACACACACACAGTGTGCCTATGTTGTAGGATGTTTTTACACTGTGTGAAGGCACATTGCTGTGACTGGTGTAATACAAAGCTGATGGGCCAACAGTGAGGCAGGAGGTATAGGTGGGATTTCCAGGGAGAGAGAGAGAGAGGAGGAGGAATCTAGGTGCATAAAGGTAGCCAGGACACAGGGAGAGGAAACAGGAGGTGCAAGATGGTAACTCCATATGCTAGAATGTAGGTTAATATAAATGGGTTAGTTTAAGTTATAAGAACTAGTTAGGAACAAACCTAAGCTAAGGCCAAGCTTTCGTAATTAATAAGCCTCCGAGTCATTATTTTGGGAGCTGACCAGCAGGCAGAAACAGACTCCTTGCATGCTTATAGCCAGAAAGATCAATGCCCCTGTTGTTGAGTTCGGGAAGTTAAAACTAGGGTCTCAATGGCCGCAGTTGAGAATGTGAAATGCTACAGCGGCCTTGGAAAAGCTTGGCACTTCAGTGAAGCGCAACAGGTGTGTAACCATGTCACCGGGGATCCCACTTACAGCCCCAAAGAACAGCAGCTTTACGCCTATAATGAGTTTGAAACAACCCAAATGACCATGAATAGCAGTAGCAATAGTAATGGCCTTAGCTTAGAAACGGAAAGACCTACTGCCGCCGTCTGGGTGAGACACAGTTCTGAAGGACTGCAGCAGGCAGGAGTTCAAACATGGCTGTCTCTGAGATGAGTTCATTAACTGACAAGGTCGTGGTTACAGTTGCAGGAGGTCAAAGCAGTGTGTGTGTGTGTGTGTGTGTGTGTGTGTGTGTGTGTGTGTGTGTGTGTGTGTGGAGCCTACACTGTCACTGTGGAGCATTGTAAATCCCTCGGGTCTAGGTATGCGCATTCCTTGCCCTCAGTGGTGCTCACACAGGTGAAAATGTAAAAAGCAAACAAACAACTCTAAGTTTGAGTCAGGAGGTGCCAGTGCACCCCTTTAATCCCAACACTCCGGAGGCACAGGCAGGCAACTCTATGAGTTTGAGGCCTGCCTGGTCTGCATCGAATGTTCAAGTTCCAGGATAGCCAGGGCTACACAGAGATGCCGTGTCTCAAAAGACCAAACCAAGCCAAACAAACAAACAAACAAAACCCTCTAAGCTTCCTATTCTTTGGACTCTTTCGTGGATTAGGTTAGCCTCACAAGAAAAAACAAAGGCCTAAAGGGTGAGCATTCTGAGAGGGAAGTAGAGAGAGAAGACGGGAGTTGCACATGCAGGCCTAGAGATGCCTCTAGACATGCTCTGTCCCCTCAGACAAAGCAGAAGGTCTAGGGGTGAGGAGACATGGTTCCCCACACCCGCAGCTCCTGGTTTGTTTCATCTGCCCAGAAGCCCTCTCCTCCCCGCTGTCTCACCTCACAGATTAGCACCAGAGGCACTGGGGTCCTCCTGCCCGGCTAGGAAGTCGAAGGCATGCAGAAGCCACGAGTGACCCTCTAGTCACCAGGGCAGGGAGGGTGAAAGTTTCCAGCACATGAGATGAGGTGAGACCCGCCAAACCCAGCGCAGAGCACGGGCGCTCCCTGGCACTCCCGGGACCCTCGCAGGCGGGCGCCCTAGCTGGGGATCACGGTTGGCGGACACCCCACCCACCTGGGTCCATGCGCCCCGGGTTGTGCAGCCCACGACCATGCACTCACCTCGGTCACGAAGCCATCGGTGGCCTCCCAGCCCTGGGCTTAAGAGCGGCGCCCGCGTTCTGTCACTCAGATACTCAAGACCCAGTGGTCATCACCGAGCGCGCAGGTTGGTTAATGTCGCAGAAAGCCCGGAGCGCTCTCCCAGGCGGGGCGGCGGCGGCAGGGTGCGAGGTTCTGAGTCCGCTTCTGCTCGGGGCACACGGTGTGGTGCGGGTCTCCCGCCTCCTTAGAGTTCTACGCCACGCCCGCTCCTGAGCCTCTGCAGCCACCTGTCCTGCTGCCAGCTGGGAATGTGCCGCTCCGGGTATTAATAACCGGCCGCGCGGGCCCTCGTGAGGGCTCCTCAGTGGAGACGGGCGCCGGATAGGGGGCCCCCGAGATCGGGGCCACAGAGGGGTTTGCCCGGCCTGACTCGGATCCCCGCTGCCTTTCTGCTTCCCGACTTTTGCCTTTCTGCTACACCGAAGGACCTCTGTGTGTGTTGGGGCTCATCCCCTCCATACCTCATATAACCACCAGGGTCAGATTGAGGTTCAAAGTTTTATGGCTTACTGCGAAGGTGAGCGGTGAGTGTGAATGGGGGAAGAACCTTGGGACCATGATTAACCATCCTCGAAGTAAACAGGGAGCCTGGGTTTGAGTAGCAACCCTGAAGTCTTAGGTTTGCCGATATCAGATGATGTGGCTGCTTCCACACACTCAAGCGGCTCAGTCTTCTGGGAGTGACCATATATATATAGGCAAGCTTGGGATATAGGGAGCCCCTCCCCACTCTGCACGTCTCTGTGGCAAAGGCCTGTTAGAGAAACCCCGTGAAGAGGCTAACCCCGACTGGTCCATGTTGATCATATGCTGGACAAAAATGAATCTCCCCATGCCTCTGGGACTGGAAGCCAGACTATCCCAGAAAACAATGCAGGGAGTATTACTCTGTGGAGGCCTTGACTGGAGAGGTTTGAATGAGGCCTCAGGGTGGTCTCCCAGCCTCATCACCCTCTGCTCACACTCCTCTGCTTCAGGTCTCACCTCTGCTGGAGTTATATTCCTCCTCTCTGCCACTCCATACACAAAGTAGTCTGATTTCCACGTCCCTTTAAATCCTGGTTCTCACCTCAGGCTCTGTACTTTCAGCTAGGGAGAGGTAGAAGGCCTTCTGGTGGGCATCTCTCCGGGGTATAAGGTCACCGGACCCCACCTTCAACCGTGTCTGTGTCGTAGTTAGAAAAGGGACCCCTGGAAGCTGGCAAGGGTCTCAAATAAGAGGGGCTGGTAAGCAGCCACATCTGCACTCTGCTTGCAGAGGAACCAGCACCTGATTCTACTCAGCCGATGCTCAGGCTTGATGAGAGCCCAGACTACAGAGAAAGGCCTGTAGAAGCCAATGGTCTGCCCAGGGGAAGCTGTCCAGGTCACTGAGCCCAAATACATGGACAGCTACAGGCCAGATATATGGATGACCAAGGATGGTCACAGTTGTTCCTTGGCTCTCTTGCAATTCTAGCAGCGGCTATGAACCCTTGTCTTTTGATATCATCTCTTCCCCCCCACCCGCACCTTTCTGGTACAGCTAGGCAAGCACCGAGCTGAATCCCAGCCGAGCCCCTCATCTCTTGATTCCCGCAGAGCCCCAGGCCGTAAGACACCACCATTTTCTAAAAGGATAGATGCCTGTCTAACGTGGATGCTGGACAAACTCTGTGGATAGTAGAGCTTCTGGGTTATCCCAAGGGTGGTTAGCAGGGGTGAGAGCACAAGGAAGGGGTTCAAAGAGAAAGTTCAAAGAGGCAGAAATGGGAGGTCATCTGAGAACCCTTCTCGGCCACACAGGAAACCTCAGCCTTGGGCTGGTATAAAGGGGGAGCCTGAGTGTCCACGGGGGGCTCAAATGCTCATGTAGACCTGGGGCTGTCTAAAGGAAAATGCTTCCCACAGTCCCCCACATCTATTATGCTGTGCAAAGAAGCACTCTACGTATTTGTGAGTCACTTCATGGACCACTAAAACTGCACACTCTGGTCCTAACGCCTGCACTTTTAAAGCTTTGCTCTGCACATAATGGCTTCATTATGTTTGATAACGATAATTTCTCTGAAAGAACTGATTTCTAATTGCGTTACCACAGTTTGCAAAAAAAGGCTCTGTGGGTGGGAGCCAGGTTTTTTTTTTTTTTGAGGGGACGGGTTATCTCAGGTGCATATCTATCCTACATGCAGGTGCTCTTTGACTCACTGATGAAGACTGGTGCTTTATGAGTATACCTCTGGGTGCTCAAACACCAGGGGTCCCTCTCTCTACCATTCTGGTCCACAAGAGCAGTGATTTGTTATGGGAAACATTGGGAAAGGTGAGGGAAGTCTGGGAGCAGGGCAGCCTAAGTTTCAATGAACCCAAACTCTTCAGTGTGGAGACGGCTTTTGAAGCCCTCCAACATCAGTGGCTGGGACACTCCCCAGGGTGCACAGCCTGCAGCTGGGATTCATTTATCTTTACTCCTAGAGCACCCCATATCTTGCAACCACTCCATGTCTCTAGTAGGTGCATCTTTCTCTACAGAGACTATTCCCTCTACTTCCAGTCTTGGGCACTGCAGTTTCCAGCCTCTGGACCTAATGTCCCTCAGCTCTGAGGCACAGCTGGAGAGATGATGACCACAATGAAATCAATTAAAACCATTACCAGTCTGCAGCTGGGGAGAGGGGTGGTTGATTGGCAAACGGTCTCAGACATCTCAGTAATCCCAAGTGAGGGAAGCTCTGAGGTTGGCAGGTGGGCTGAATGTTGACGCTGTTCTTGACTGGAAATGCCCAAGCTATTGAAAGCTGAAACACAGAGGCAAAGAGAAACACCTAACACCCAGGTTCCCTGACAATCAACCTCAGGGGCCTCCTGCTGCAGGGAAAGAGACTAAAGGGTCCAACACTGCAGTCTTCTGGTCCCACAAGGCTGAGTGACCTTTGGAAAAATGATCTTGTGTTCATATAACTTCAGAAATCTCTCTCCTCTCAGCATGTCCGTTTCCTCCTTCCTGCTCCCTGGGTGACAAGTAGGCCAGGAGCATCAGCTCATCCGTGTTTCACATCAGTAGGAGTACCTTGACTCTGAAACCCATAGAGGAACCTCAGTGACAGCCAGAATCTAAGAGATGGGACCCTTGTCCCTCTAGGTTTCCTCCTAGGAGCTGTCTTCACCATCCTTACTGCCATCACCACCACTGCTACCATCATTGCCACCATGATCATCACTGTCACTTGTAGCTTGGATTCTAAACTGGTTTTAATAATAAAAACCTGGAGTCAGATAAAGGGGTTAATGCTGAAAAATCAGAGAAGCAGAGCTAGTTCTTACCTCTACTCAATCCTCAGGCCAAAGGGGGTTATCCTGTCCCTGTGAATCCTCAGATTGAATGCAATGAGCTCCTGTCTCCTCCCATCTTATATTCTCCTCTCCCCACCAAACCATTTATCACTCTTGTCTCCACCTCCCTAGTGTTGGGATTAAAGGCGTGTGATTCCCAAGTGCTGGGATTGAAGGTGAGAGCCACCACTGTCTGGCCTCTATGGCTAACTCTGCACTCTCATCACCACCATTATAACTATCATCCACACCATTATCTCTTTCGCCACTATCAGTATCATCACCATCATTTTTTTCCCATTCATATAGCGAGTAAAAGACACCTTTGTTGGGCCCCAGCCCCCATGGGCATCTCTGTGAGTTGCATGTCAGCCAACAACCACAGGTCCATCCTGTTTTCTGGTCCTGGCTTGCAGCCCCGGCCTTGCCCCCACTGGCATCAACCTCTGATTATGAAAACACGAGCTCTTACACTTGGGGTTTTTCCACCGTGCTGTAAGTCTGTATATAAGGCTGCTCCCTGCTTGCAATACAAACGCATGTGCATTATCTTAGCACAAATGGCCGGATGCCTTAGTCTTTCATTTAAATCTCCAGGCTTTTGCCTGACACATTAGACTTGCTTGTGGCGCAGTCACCACAGACCTTCTCCCCCTAGATCATAAAATCACAGTGCTTCCCCATGGTTATTTCAGGTTGATATTTAAGAGGGAACACCGCCCTCTCTTCCACGTTCCCATTCTTCTTCCTCCCCAGAGGCACTGTTTCTCTAAGGCTGGAATGTCTCCCAAGTTTTGTTTTTGTCTTTGACCACATGTGGCTTTTCCATGTGTAGTTAATAATGTATTTAAATGTCATCATAAATGATACCATAATGTGCTTACCATTTTGCACTTTTTCTTCTCAACTAACAAGGGCTCATGTGCCACTCTGGCCATCTCTACCCCCTCCCTTGCACACCTCAGCTGTTTTCCAGGGCTCCTCCATCCCATTCCCAGGAAGACATGCCCACCAGAGTCAGACTCTGGGTTGGAGATATTGAAATGCTCAAAGAAGCAGCCAGGGCTGCAGCTGCTGTGTCTCTCCTACCCCCGTTTCCTCGTCTGTGAAATGCAACTAGAAGTAGAGCCAACTTTCCGGGCTATTGGGGGCGTCCAGCGAGTTCCTAATATGAAAATGCTGGCACAAGACTCGGGCTGTAGGTGATGCTTGGCAATCGTGTTGGTTTGGGAAAGAAAGGTGACATCACAGTTTTACCCTTCAAGGGGGTTGAGGTCTGTGGCAGAAGATGGCTTATATAGCCATCCAGGATATCTGGATGGATGTACATCTGCAATGTTTGGATTTGGCTGAGTGTAGGGAGAGCAGTCAGTGGGCTGCTTAGGGGTACCTTGGAGGAAGGACAAAACTCAATTACATTTGAATTTAAAGTCAACAAAAAAATTTTCAGTGTTTGGAACAACAGTCTTTAGGAACTTGGCAAGCTGTGAATGCGAATGGAGGGATGAAGGTACAGCTTCGAAGGCAGGACTCGTGGAAGCACAGAGGCCAGCATTTCCACAGGCAGTAGACGTATGGTTTTCCACACAGGTGCTCTGGCAAAAGGGTGGTGATCTCTTCTCTGGGCCAGCAACATACAACTGCAACATGTGATTGAGGTGACATTCACACAACAAAATGATTTGATGTGAAAAATTCAGTGACAATGAGTTCCCAGGACATTTTTGCTCCATCAAGAAAGACCCCACTGAGGAAAACTACATAGGGTCTAATCCATTGAACACTGATGACTGGGACTGGAAAGATGGCTGCTCAGAGGTTAAGAGCATTGGTTACCCTTCTAGGCGACCTATGTTAAATTCCCAGCAACCACATGGTTCAAAACTGTTAACTCCAAACTCAAGATGCTCTCCTCTGGCAGCTCCAAGTACCTGACATGAGGACAGTATGTGGAGGGGAAATGATACACATAAAGTAATAAAATTCAAGACACCAACTTTATTTAACAGAAACAACCCAAAGGAGCATGGATAAAAACAAAGAGCTCAAATGCTCTGTACAGTTTAAGCCTGAAACCAGGTCTGATGAACCCCTAAGACAGGATCTAACAATATGACACACCAGGTCAATCAATGCCTCAGAGTCCAAGCACTTACTAGTACAAGGTCTGTGACTTCTTCCCTCACCAACACCCGATACAGAACACTCCACCTACACACATAACTAGGCCTCACCTTCCAAACACTGAACAGTCGGCCGAGGATAAACTAAACTCTGTGATGTAAGTATGCCAGACTTCCCTCTGAGGTCCCTAAGCCCCTAGGCTGCTCCAGATGGCTCCTCTCAAAGCCTAGACCAACCGGTCCCATGCTGCTCAGAACATGCAGCCTCTGGCTCTTCACACTTCCTGCAACCCTGGGGTAATGGGGGCTGCCTAAGCATCAGAGTCTCAGTTATTCCGGAGTTGGGGAGGATCAGGAGAGGGGAGATTCATTATTAAGAAACTGATGGTACAAGCTGAGGTGCAGGAGCCTCTGAGACTCAAAGTCTTTGATTAAAAGCCCCTGCGTTGGCTCCCAGCTCCAGACCTCTGGGGTGCTATCTTGCCAGGGCATGTAGGAGTGTACCTTGAAGCCTCTTTTCCGCAGGCCCCAATCAGCAGGCACCAGCTCCACACCCACATCCGAGGGCTCCAAAATACTGAGCCTCCAGCGGTTCAGGTCCCACTGTTCAGGTACACTCCATAGGTGAACCATGAACAACTCACCAGGGTCCAGCAACACCTGCCAACGCTTGACCGGGGTACTCACAGCCCAGTGAGGAAACATTCTCAGCAGCGTACATTGAGTACCAGTGCTACCCATCACAATGACAAACTTCAGGTTGACCAACCAGGTTCCTGCTAACAAGTTCATGGGCCAGATGGGGCTCAGCTCCAACAATACAGGTTGCCCGTTATGTGGTAGGCCCTGGAAGATATCCCACCAGGACAGAGGGGGCATGATGCACTGGTGGGGGCAGGAACTAAAGACACCTAATCTCCAGGGAGGGATCTGGGTGCACACAGCAATCTTCGGGCCCGCATCCAGGGATACAGCTTCCTTAGAACTCAGCTCAGTGGGCACAGGCTGGGGTCCTGGCCATGCGGAGACTGGTGCCATAAGCTGAGGCCACCGTCCACTTTGAACGACGATCGGTGGCAAATATCCATGGCTCTGTACCCAGGTGAGCCCTATCCCCAACCATGCGTCTGGCACAGGTGAGTTCCTCAATCCCTCGGGCACAGGCCCTATCCAGTCTCCCATCTTCAGCATGTTCTTAAGTGCCAGGACGGCTGCCTTGAAGCAAGCAAAGCAGATCTTCATCTGGTCTCCGTGGACAAGCTGGTATAGCCAGGCCGCATAGAGGCAGGACATGCCCTTGGCCCTATGGCGACTGCTGATTGGGGGACACATGACCAAAAAAGCTTGCCTGTAGATGACTGGACAGAGAGAGGAAGCCTCGCTTGGTGGTCCCAGGAGGTCAGGGTCTGGGGACCTTTGTGATGCTAGGGACAGGCGGGAGAAACAGGAGAAAACGGGATGCAGCAGGAGGTCTAGGGCGCTTTGGGCTCCAGGACACGGGGTAGCGGGGGGAGGGGGGTGAGAACCAGGAGCCGATTCAATGGACACCTCCTTGGAGGAGTGGACAGCCTTGAGATTCCAGAAGGTTCTCCAGCTTCACACTTGCTCCAGTGTCTGGGGAGCTAGAAAGGCAGAGAAAATGAGGCCTGGTGCCCCCTGCTGGGCAGGCTGGCTGCTTAGACCACTGAGGGGAGGAGAGGTGGGGCTCAGCCACTCCTCCCGCCCCCCCCCGAAGGGGAGGCGCTCACTGCTCACCTTGAGCCGACTCCCCCAGATTCAGCAGCTTCCTGGGGCTCAAGGCCCCAACCTCACACTCGGGCCCCACCTACCAACTGAAGGAGGCCTGGAAGCCTAAAGCCCACCGTGCTCCCACCCAACCCCAGCCCCCGCCCCCCCAGTGCAGGCCATGCCACCCACCCAGCCCCAGTCACCCCCTCAGCCCGACCCATCCTCACCTTCTTCCTCACTGAGCTCCCAGCAAGCCTGCTAATGGACGCGGGACCCACACCGAAGCTCTCCTCGCCACAGCATCGCGGCCTTATAAAGGGCCAATACCCATGATGCTCCAGCTCATTTGCATATCTCCCATCAGCCCTGAAACGCAGGAGGCTCAGGCGCTGAGTCAACCAGGCCCCCAGCCGCGCATGCGTCCTGATGCCCCCCCCCCCCCGGGACGCATGCGCTGCTCGCTGCCTGCACGCACGTGCCCCTCTGCCTCCTGTGTGCTGCCTTGAGGTGCCCTATGTCCCTGGGTCGCCGTCCCTTCAAGGGACACGAAGGCCTGGGCCTGCGGCTTATCTCGTTTGGAAAAGAGGATTCCTTTCTTCCCTGTCTCTTTAGTAAAAGTTCTTTAAACACTCGTGAAACTGCCTGCTCGGCCCTCAGCTGCGATTTAAACGCATTTCCCCCTCTCTGGGCCTTTTCGTTCTTAAACAGACTCCAAAGGACTCTTTGTAGAGCTAATTTTTAGAGGGGCTTGGGACTCCCGAGAAAAACCAAGCAGAGGATACAAGGTTTCCAGCGGCCTCTCTGCCGCCTGAGTTTAGCCTTCACTGCACAGAGATCTGTTTGTTAGAGCCCGCGAGCTGCACTGCGGGTGTTATCTCCTCAAGCAGGTGCTCGCGGTCCACCCGGACATCCCACGGGTTTGGACACGGGATGACCATGCACCCCTGCCACCTCGGGGCCGCGGGGGAGCAGTTCCTCTCTCTCTGCAGACAGACGCCCTTGGCACCCTGCCCTCCCCAGGCCCTGGAATCGCTGACGTGACCTCTGCCACTGTTTTTGCCCTATCCAGAATGTAAGCAACAAGAAACCGTCCCAGGTTCCTTCCTTAGGAACGCGTGGCTGGGCTTCCTGGGTCCCCTGGGATAGCAGGAAACAAGTTTCACTCCAGGGTTCAGTAATTCTCCATCAACTGGATATACCTCTGTATCCAGTCACCTGCTGAAGAGTGTCTGGTTGCTCTCTGGGTTTTTGTTTTTTGTTTTGTTTTGTTTTTTACGAGTGCAGCAGCTATGTTCGGTCGTGAGCTTGACAGTTACCTGGAACTCCTCCCTGACTCTGTGTCGTCTTCTCCCCTTCTCCCGGCACTCCTCCCCTGTCAACCTTGTGTCTGTGCGCTCCTGAACTCTTCAGCTGTCTCTCCTTGCTCTAGCCTTTGGGCCTCACAGTTCAATTGTCAACACCTGTGAGGTTCGAGCGAGTCGCGTGCCCCGTAAGGTTGGGAGTTTGAGCACTTGATTCCCAGTTGGTGGGGCTGCTTTGAGGACTTTTGGGTGGTGCAGGCTTCCTGGAGGAAGTGTGCCGCCGGCAGTGGCCTTTGAGAGTTCATAGCTCTGGCTGATGCCAGTTTGCCCTCTCGTCCTCATGTTTGTGGCTCTCTTGCCTTTCCTGTTCTGGCCCTCTGGTTGCCGTGCCTCTTCTGTCTTATGGTCTATCCCTTGGGAAACCATAAACCAGAATAATTCTTTTTTTTTGCTTTGTTTTTGTTTTTGGTGTTTCAAGACAGGGTTTCTCTGTATTGTTTTGGAGGCTGTCCTGGAACTCGCTCTGTAGACCAGGCTGGCCTCAAACTCACAGAGATCCACCTGCTTCTGCCTCCACGTGCTGGGATTAAAGGCACCACCAACACCTGACTTCCTTTTTTCTTTTTAACCAAAATAATTTTTTTCTGCTGCATGACTTTGGTCATGATGTTTTCTTCTGGGCTGCTTTCTTCATGTTGCCAACTCAGCCTGCACTACTAAAAGCAGATGAGGAAGGATCACCCAAAAGGTGCTTCGAAAAGCTGGGGAGATGGCTCAGTTGGTAAAGCACTTGCTTTGCAAGCACCAGTCCCAAGAACCAGTGCAAAAAACTGTGTGTGGCCGGGCAGTGGTGGCTCATGCCTTTAATCCCAGCACCCGGGAGGCAGAGGCAGAGGCAGAGGCAGAGGCAGAGAGGCAGGGGCAGAGAGGCAGGGGCAGAGAGGCAGGGGCAGAGAGGCAGGGGCAGAGGCAGAGGCAGGCGGATCTCTGTGAGTTCGAGACCAGACTGGTCTATAAGAGCTAGTTCCAGGACAGCCTCCAAAACAAACAAACAAACAAACAAACAAAAAATCCAAAAACAACAACAAAAAACTGAGTGTGTGGTAGCAAGTACTGCAACACTGTGGAATGGACAGCAAAGACAGAAGAATCCGCCCGAATCAGAAAACTCCATGTTCAGATAGAGACCCTATCTCAAATCTGAGCAGGAGAATGGTGAAGATACCCCATGTTGGCTTCTGACCACACACACACACACACACACACACACACACACACACACACACACACACACACACACGAACATGCAGACACACATACACAAATAAAATAAAATAAAAACCAAAAGCTACATGTTGTAGATGGAGTTTCCATTCCTCCTGGTCCCACAGCCCCTTTGGCCCCAAATAAACAACAGAGGTATATTAATTATAAACTGTTTGGCCGATGGCTCAGGCTTCTTATCGGCTAGCTCTGTCTTAATTATTAACCCATGACTATTAACCTATGTATTTCTACATGGCCTTATCTTACTGGGGAATGCCCGGCGTCCTCTCTTCCCAGTAGCTACTTGGCATCTCCCTGGCGGCTTCTCTCTGTGTCCTCTTCCCAGAATTCTCCTTGTCTGGGAGCCCCACCTATACTTCCTGCCTGGCTACTGGCCAGTCAGTGTTTTATTCACCAGCTAATAAGAGATACGTATATACACAGAAGGATACCCCCCATCAAGATGTGGCTGTACATGCCTTTAGTTCCAGCATTTGGGAGTCATATTTGGGTCTCTGTTACTTTGAGACAAGTCTGGTCTACACTGCAAGTTCAGGTCAACCAGGGCTTGACAGTGAGACCCTATCTCAAGTGAGTAGGGAGAGGGTGACTGCAATGTCAAAACAGGCACACAGTAGGGTATTCCCCCAGCTAACACATTAGACAAGCCTGAATGACCTGTGTATATAGCCAGAGAAGGGGTGTTTGGACTAATCACAGCTCGCCTCACACGCTAATGAAACTTTGTGTTTCAATCACACGCAAATGAGGGTTTTTGTTTTCACCAATCACACCCTTGCCTTTTGACACTAGTCACAGCAGTCCCTGTGCTAGACCGGCGGAGGAAGTGCTTCTCCTCTGGCTTGAGCAGACATGGTTACAGGGTCATGTAGAATTCACCAAGGCTTGTGAGGGCAAAAAGTCCTCTACAAATTGTTGGAAACAGCCCTTGCTAAAGCTGCACCTTGAGGAGGCAGGCTACTCGTTATGATCCATTGCAGGTTTTTTTTTTCTCCAAGGCATTTGTGCTGTCGTGAGTGTAGTTTGGCTGGCTATTTGACTGACAGTCATCCTTTTGCTCCAGAATCCAATAGCTGCAAATTAAGGGAGTGAAAAGTGCCTACCTCACATCTTATTTACAGGAAAATGAACATCACGGCAGAGCTCGCAGTAAAGGACTTGACGAGCCTGTCATTAATACTGAACTTTTAAAAGGTTTTTTAAAAAAAACGTTTAACATCTTGCTGCGTTCTTCAGGGAGAGATGGATTCCCCCTTATCTGTCTTGGAACCGTAAGTTCAGTGTTAATTTCCTTTATACTCTATTAGTTCTCCTTTTTTCTCCCTTTCTTTTCTTTTTCCTTTTTAGATGAACTCCATGTATGCTAGACTGGCTTCCAATACACTGTGTAGACCCTGAATCCCTGATCCTCTTGCCTCTGCGGCACCTGCACCACAAGCAACTTCAAGGTATTAGGGAAAGAAAGACCAGACGTCCACTTGTTTGTACTAAGAGAATGCATGTTTGGCCTTTATTGCCAGGAGAGAGAGAGAGAGAGAGAGAGAGAGAGAGAGAGAGAGAGAGAGAGAGAGAGAGAGAGAGAGAGAGAGAGAGTGTGTGTGTGTGTGTGTGTGTGTGTGTGTGTGTCTTCATTGCAAGTGCTAAGAAGGTCTCTCTCTTGTAGGCGGGAGGAGCTTTATATACAGGTTTATAGCATGGTGGAAAAACCCCAGGTAGAAGAGAGCGTGTTTTCCTCCTGCTGAATGTTGATGTCAGAGGGTCAAGGCTGGGGCAGTAAGCCAGGACTAGAAAACAGGAAGCACTTGGACTGGAAAACAGGCTGCACTTGTAGGCTGACCAGCAACTCACAGAGACCCTGTGGGGTTGGGGCCCAACAGCCTCCATCTCTGGAGTCTTGGTATTGTATGCACACACCATCACGCCCCGTTATTGAGTGCTTGTGCATACTAGCCACATACTCCCAGCCCCTCTTTCTTACGTATTTTTGTTGGCTTGCTTCTTGTCTTAGTCTGCCTGGCTGTAATAACAAACTATCAAGGCTAGGCAGCTTAAAGGACAGAGAGAGACATTTTGTTACTGCTCTGCTGGTGCCGGTCAAGGTCAAGATGCTATGTATGAGACAGACCAGAGAGATAGACTCAAGAGGGACCAGCCTCTCCTGGGGCACTGGGGAAGACTAAACACTGCCAAACATTGGTCAATACTACACTGTTAAAATGTTACTCATGTGCAGGGCTTTCTCTGTTTGTTGTGGTATTGGCTATTAAATGTTTCCTACGAGCAGCCTAAATTGCTGAGAAGAGCAGACGTTTGACAAAGCCCTCCCTTGGGCATGGTGGGCATGATTGGACCCCTTTACTAGAACACTGACTGGACCACCCTTCCGTCAGCCTGGCTGTTTGAGGCTAGATCAGTCCTTTCAGAGGACCACCACAATACCAGCTGAAGACACGCGCCAGTCACAGCATCTCCAGACAGCCTGCCCCAGTCTGGGAAAGCAACACCTCAGCCAGACAAGCTTCTGTGTCCACTCCATGCCCAGGAGCTGTTTTCACAACTGTAGGGTGAGAGGAACACCACCGCTTCGTTTTATGACCCCCCCAGAGAAGACTGATAAAAACAAGAGTCCTTTATCACCCTTGCCACACCGAGCCTTCCCTGGTAACCAGGCTGTGTTGCTTACTTTTCAAGGCAGGTAGGAGATACTTCCTGTGCTGTCCCTGATGGTTCAACTCAAGTGGAAGTGTACAGCTCTGAGGGGAAAGATTTCCCCAGTGTAAGTGTTGCAGCTCTGAGAGGTTCAGAGATTTGCCAGTCTGACCATTAATATATTTAAACAAAGAAGAAGCCTTTCTTCACATACTGTACCAAATGTAGTACCCAGCCCGGTCAGTCAGGGGTTTATAAAAGCAGAGAACATAAAGTTACATTGTGTTTACAGGCAAGCAGGTCATCTCGAGCAAAAAAAAAAAAAAAGCTGTTGTTGATGAAAGAGCAAAAACAGCAGTTAACCTGATGACCTATACTACCTTGTATACACAACAGTTTTGTTAAAATTGTGTAAGACCAGACAACTAAAAAAAAAAAACAACACTTAACACCCCTTAACATTTGGAAGTCCAATTTTGCTTTATAGTTCTCTTAAGCACAGTAATTTTTTAAAAAACTTTTTCAAGGAGTTCTGGCCAGTTCAAGCATGTCCAGCGTGGTTCTGGAAGGCCTTGACCTTTTCCCCTTTCCCTCTGCCTTGCAAGAAAAAAAAAAGAAAGAAACAAACAAAAAAACCTGTTAGATTACATCCCTAAAGCTAGCCACCAAGGTCTATTCCCTTGTTCAGACACTTTCCTATGCAGGGTCCTTCCTGGTTATGGGTACTGAAACCCCCTTTGGTTCACTTAATTAACATGTCCAATCAAAATATACCACCATATTCTAGCCCATTCTAACACAGACCTCCCCCTTTTTTCTTCTTAGAAATGACACCTACAAGGTCATCTGTGGCTGTTTTCTGTCTGAGTCAGAAAGCAGCCACTTTAACTTTTCTTTTCCACTTAGTAAGGACATCTCTCTGTGAACACTGGTGTTTGGTTTGTTGTGGTTTGTGCCTAATCCGTGGGGGAGAGAAAGCCTCTGCTGTGTTGCACACACATGGGGTGACAGTTAGGGTGGAGTGTCTTCCTTCACTTATAACCCTGCCAGTAGGTTTCTTCCCTGTTTCCTCATTGGTGGAGTAATCAGGAGGCCACCATCTTACACATCGTCTGCAATTTACATTTGATTTTTTTTTCGGTGAAAACCTTAGGTGGGTTTAATCTCTATATTTTATGTGCTGTTGATCTGAAGTGTCTTCTGTTTCGTGACCTTCTTACACCTGCAGGCTGTTAAGCAAGCGTGGCTGTTAATAGTTTTCCGAGCTTTTATTTAATTTTTTTTTAAAGTGGCTGCGAGGCTGGAGAGATGGCTCAGCAGGTAAGAGTGTTGACTGTTCTTCCAGAGGACCCAGGTTCAATTCCCAGCACTGCCCTCCCCCCCAACAGCTATTTGCTTATTTTTATTTTATTTGTATGGGCGTTTGTCTTCATGTATATGCGGTGGCCAGAAGAGGGCACTGGATCCCTGGACCTAGAATTACAGACAGCCGTAAACCACCATGGGGAGGCTAGGGATTGAACCCAGGGCCTCTGGAAGAGCAGCTAGTGCTGCTCAGTGCTGAAACCATCTCTGCAGTCTAGTAACCGTCTATTCTAATTTCTAGTTTGATGGAGGAGCTAGTCTAACAGGTGTTAGCAGAGCTCCATGTTTTCTATTCATGTGGTACTGGAACTAAGTTGGCTCACTGGGTATTGGAAAATAACCTTTTTTTAGAGATTTACTTCTGTTATTTTTAATTATGTGTGTGTTGTCTGTATGGGGGTATGTTTACATGTGTACCATGCTCTGGGAGACCACAGGCTCAGGATCCCTTGTAACAGGAATTGCTGGCAATTCTGAACTGATGTGTGGGTGCTGGGAATCGAACTTGGGTCCTTTGGAAAAACAGCAAGTGTTTTTTTTTTCTTTCTTTCTTTTTTAACCTCTGAGCAATCCCCCAGCCTAAAAATTGACTGTTTTTTAACACTTAAATTAAATTATTTATGTATTTACCTATCTATCTACCTATTTATTTTTGAGGCAGAATTTCTCTGTGTAACAGTCCTGGCTGCCCCAGAACTCTCTTTGTAGACCAGGCCAGCCTCGAACTCTCTGAGATCTTCCTGCCTCTGCCTCCCAGGTGCTGGAATGAAAGGTGTGCATCACCACCACCACCACCCAGCCCGTTTTGTTTTTTGTTTTGTTTTTGAGACAGGGTTTCTCTGTGTAGCCCTGGCTGTCCTGGAACTTGTTCTGCAGACCAGGCTGGCCTCGAACTCAGAGATTCACCTGCCTCTGCCTCCTGAGATTAAAGGCATGTGCCACCATCACCCAGCTAAATTTTATTTTAAGTGCATGGGTGTTCTACCTGTATGTGTACTCCATGTGTGCCTGGCATCTACAAAGGCCAGAAGGGTGTGTTGGATCCCCTGGGATTGGAGTTATAGACAGTTATGAACCACTATGTGGATGCTGGGAATGGAACCCAGGTACTCCGGAAGCACAAGTGTTCCTAACTACTAGGCCATATCTCCAGCTTCTTTACTCTTTTTAAAAGTTATTATTGATTTTATTGTGTTCACATGGGTATTTTACTCTTACAGGTCTCATTTTCATGTGTTTTAGCCTTCTAATTAGACTTTAAAATTGCAGGGTATGGCGACACACATGACTTTGATCCTAACACACTTGATCAGTGAGGCTGGCAGATCTCTGTGAGTTCAAGACCAGCCCAGTCTATACAGCGAGTTCCAGGCCAGACAGGGTTACATATTAAGACAAAAACAAAACAAAACAAAAACCCAACAAACTGGTTTACATTTTTTGATGTCTATTTTAACCTATGTTGATTATAACAGATACAAAGTTAATCCAATCCACTGCTCTGGTTAGTTATTTGTGAACTTGGCACAAACTAGGGTCACATGGGAAAGGGGAAGCAGGAGCAGAGGAAACGCCCCCATCAGATTGTGGGCCGATTTTTTTGACTAGTGATTAGTATGTGAAGACCCAGCCCGCTGTGGGCCGTGTTGGCCCTGGGAACAGGGTCCTGGATTGTTTCAGAAGGCAAGCAGGATGAACCACGGGGGGTGAGCCAGAAAGCAGCACTCCTCCACAGTCCCTGTTTCAGTTCCTGCCTCCAGGTTCCTGCCCTGCTTTGGTTCCCTCAGTGATGGACAGCCATCGCAAGTGTCCAAGTTGCTGTTGGTATCACAGCAGTGGAAAGCAGAGACCCCAGAAAAATCCCTGACCTGCAGCCCCTACATAGACCCTGAACTGGCTCGGCTCGGAGCCCCAACCCGGTGAAAGAAACACACCCTGGATTTGGGACCCAAGCCATCAGAAGAGACACTTTATCCCCAAGCTTAGAGCCAGAGAATAAAACACCCTGACTCTGAAAACGAGTGCCAAAAGAACACAGTTGGCACCTAGATTCAGGACATGTGAAAGAAATTTGCCCGGGGCCCTAGATTGGGAGCTGAAAAGCCAAAAAGAACCGTAGAAAAGCAACACAGTTTAGCCCTGGAATTGGACCCGTTCTCTGCACCCTGACTCAAAACTAGCCAATCCCTGAGCTAGAAAAACTGACCAATCCCAGGCCAGCAGGCTTGGAATTTCCCCCCTCCCTTTGAATCTCCTTAGGCTAGGAATTCCCCTAGACCGGGAATTTCTACCGCTTCATGAGAGCAGCCAATCACCATCCAGAGGGCTTAGAGTGGCTGCCCTAGACTCAAGGGCAGCCAATCAGCTCAGTCCAGGCTTGAGCCAATCCCAAGGCTGTAACTATGCAGTTTTGGAGGGCTTGAGCCAATCACAAGCCTGTAGGTAGGCAGAGTTGGAGTTTCCCCAAACCCTCCCTCCTGCCTGGCTACTATATAAACCGCCTTCCCTTGCTGCTCTGGGTCCCTCTTCTGCTCTGTTCCTGTCCCTGCTGCCACGCTTGGGACAGATGAAGGGAGGGATCCAAGTTAACTCGCAAATAAGGACTCTGCGTATTTGCATCAGAGTTGGTCTTGGTGGTGGTGATTCGATTCCGGATTTCCGGCTTGACAAGACAACCACCAGAATAAAGCTGATTCAAGCCTTTCGGCTATCTGGCTCTTAGCCTTAAATTCATTTGAACACCTCTGTCAATTCCTCAAAGACATGGGGGACCAAAGGACCTTGACGGGGGAAGTCCTTCTGTGCATATGTAAATAAAGCACTGTTGGCCAATAGGGAAGCAAGGTAGGCGGGACTAGGAGTCAAGGAGGATTCTGGGAAAGGGAGGCACAGTGAGTCACGATGTAGGACGCCAGAGGAGTAAGAGGTCCGGACCCTTTCTCCGGTAAGACAAGACCACATGGAAATACTCAGATTAGCAGTTATGGGTTAATAATTAAGTCAGAGCTATCAGATAAGAAATCAAAGCAAACGGCCAATAGCTTCATAATTAATACAGCGTTTCGCGTGCTATTTGGGGACTCAGACAGCAGGGGGAGCAGGCAGCTGGTGGGAAGACTATATGTTACAGGACCTTGGTTATGGACCTCCTTCACCCAATAGCTACTTTTGCTAAGAGAATTGAAGACTGAGGTAAAGGGTATGCAGGGCTGAACTGGTACACAGGTCCCTAGCCAACTGGATGGTAGGCTTGAGTTAAGGCTCCCCCGGCCCCAAACATATTGTCTTAGTTAAGGTTTACGTCGCTTCGAAGAGGCACCGCGGACCACAGTAAGTCTTATAAAGGAAAACATTTAACTGGGCCTGGCTTACAGTCTCAGAGGGTTTTTTTTTTTTTTGGTTTTACGAGACAGGGTTTCTCTGTAGTGGAGGCTGTCGGTCCAGCCCGGCCTCGAACTCACAGAGATCCGCCTGCCTCTGCCTCCCAAGTGCTGGGATTAAAGGCATGCGCCACCACTGCCTGGCTCAGAGGTTTACTCCATTGTCATCGTGACAGGAACCGTGGCAGTGTGCAGACAGACACGGTGCTGGAGAAGGAGCTGGGAGTTCTACATATTGATCTGCAGGCAGCAGACGGAGACTGTGTGCCACACTGGGCCTAGCTTGAACGTGCAAGACCTCAAAGCCAGTCTCCACAGGGACACACTTCTCCAACAAGGCCACATCCCCTAATCGTCCCATTCCCTATGGGCCAAGCATTCGAACACATGAGTCTGTGGGGGCCATACCTGTTCAAGCCACCACACATAAGTATTTGTCTATGAAGAGGGGAGCCAGAGAGTGGTCTCACCCTTGCCAGCACCCAAAACCACAGGCCTCCGAGCTGGCTTTGTTGGTCTCTCCTTCTGAGTATGCCTTAGCTCACAGCCAGACCCAGGCATACTGCAATTATGTCCATCAACTCAGGCCAGCGTCCGGACTTTCTGAGATAGCTGGAATTTTTAAAAAAATATTTCTAAAGATTTATTTATTTATTACGTACACAGTGTTCTGCCTACATGCCAGAGGAGGGCACCAGATTGAACTGTAGATGGTTGTGAGGTACCATGTGGTTGCTGAGAATTGAACTCAGGACCCCTGGAAGAGCAGCCGGTGCTCTTAACCTCTGAGTCATCTCTCCAGCCCCCAGAATTGTTTTTTTCAGAAGTAGCAGGGATTTGCCTACAATAGGCTGGGAAATGTAGGTGTCTGTGGCTCTTCTGTCTCTCACCTCGAGGAACCCCGCACAAGTCACTCTCCTGCTAGGGATTCCAGATGACACCAGTTCGCTGGTGTTTGCCCAGTGTGGTGCTTGCAGTTGCCAACCCTTGAGCCATGTGTGAAAACCCACACACCTATCTCGTTCTGGTGCAGAAAATCCAGCAAGGTGCATGGTTGGGCTATATCTGTTGTAACAAGACTATGTTAGGCCCTGAGTGTCTCATCTTACAGTTGTTTGTTTGTTTGTTGGTTTGGTTTTTTTGTGTTTTGTTTTGTTTTAGCTTACCGAGATGTTTTACACGAGAGACATTTTCTGTACTCTCATCTGGGCTTCGTGCCATCTCTATGTTTCTTCTTCCATTGTAAGCAATTCATGTTTCCACAGGGGCAGGATGTGAGCTGTCATGAGAGCCCCCTCACCCACTTACCCCGTTAGAAAAGAAATGTTAGCAAGAGTGCTTTTTAAAAACCAAATAATCAATGCTTGGGAAGTAGAGACAGGGGGCTCAAAGTTTCAGGGATCCGCATGCACACACACACACACACACACACACACACATATAAAAATAACAACAACAACAAAAACCCTTTAAAAAATAAAAAGTTTGCAGCCAGCCTCAGCTGCTTAGCAAGTTTGAAACCAGCTTGGACTAAGAAACACATAGACAAGCAAATGACAAACAAAATGCAGCATTTAGAATTATTTGTTACTACTGGATAGGAAAGTGTAGTATAAAAGACCAGTTGTTAGCAACAGTACCAACAAGAGGTGAGGGCTGATAGACCAACCAAGATCCACAAAGGCCTTACGTAACAGTAAGCCCAATGCTCAGCTACATTGTGTGATTAGCCCCCTCTGACTCTATCTGCCATCACCTCCCATTCCAAGAGGAACCTGTGTGGAAAGGTGGTTTTTTTCAGAACATTGTCGTGAATTTGGAAGAAAAAGTCAAGTTGGACCCTGCCCCACCAGAAAAAAAAAATCTAATTAAAAGTCCAAGTCGATCAAACACATAAATAAGCAAAATTCAGCTTATGAAATGCTATGGACAATAGGAACCCAAACCATTTCACTCAAGGTAAGGAAGAAGGGTTCCATGTTAGCTTCTTTGTGAAGAACCCACCCCCCCACCCCCCCACTCCCGCCTGCAGATCTGTGGGAAGCAGGCAGCACAGAGAAGTAGCTGTGACAGCTGGAGAAATCTACGTTCCGGCACAGAGAAGACAGTCTCTCTCAGAGGAGATGGGACAAGCAGAGGCGCTTGGCCTTCGCCAAGCTTAAGCATTTGATACTCCACTCCTGGAAATGTCATCAGATCTTGGAGGAATTCTTAGCTGGGGGGGGGTGTGGGGTGGGCGGCTGTCGGGAGTTGAGGGAACTGCAGCCCTTTGTTGGATCGTAAGCTGATGCCCAGTACCTCCACGGGAACCTCTGGTTTTGCCACCGGAGTGTGTACAATTTCTTTGCCTCTGCGTATGGGCCTAAGAAGTTTGCAGAGGTCCCAGCTCTCAAGCCCAGGCCCACTAGGGTCATTGTGGAGACAGCCCAAGGCCTAGGGCGTTCTGCTAGCCCTGGGAAGCTGACCTCACAGTACCCAGGGTATTTTCATGCTCCTTTCTCATTACTTTGGCCTATAACTGCCCACTTGGGGTACCAGTGTGTGGCTGCAGCTGAGGCTCTCTAGCCGGGTTGTGGGGGTGCTTTGACAGTTCTCCTTCTTACATCCCAGTCCACTGATAACCATGAGCCATGCAGCCTGTGTCCCACTCAGCCTTGCTCTGTGCTGGATCCTGTAAGGTAGTGGCCATCTTAAGGCTTTCCTGATAGTTCATTCCTAAAGAGCCAACGGTCTGTCGAGCTGCGTCGGTTGTAAAACTTGGGAGATGAGGCGCTGGTGGTAGGAAGGTGGGGAGCTCTCTCATTACCCAGGACTCCTCATTCACCCCGCAGAAAATCAGGAAGGAAAGGGAACACTCTTCCACAGAAATCATAGACAGGAAAGTTCATCCCTTGCAGAACCACTGCAGCGTGGGAAGGAAGTAGGTGTTTGTCCTGTAACCCCCCCATACCCCCCCATCCCCCGTGCTAGCCAGTCTCACAAATGGGTCCTGGCCCACCTGGCCAGAGAATAAAAGGAAATGTAAATGCAGGTCAGAAGCGAATATTCACAGAGGAAATTAACTGTGCATGGGAAGTCCTGGAGGAGTCTTACTCAGTCATTGGTGAACGCTTACAGCATACTGATTGTAAACAATGATCAACTGCGGTTCTAAATGCCAAAACATGAATAGGAAGCTGTGTTCTAAAAGATGACAGTGGGTAGGTAGTGCATGTCTGTAATCCCCGTATCTTGCAAAGTAGGAGGTTGGATGTCAGTCTGTACTACATAGTGATTCCTTTTCCCTAAGTAAAAAAAAAAAAAAAAAAGCCAAGCCTAGTGGCAAAAGCCTGTAATTCTGGCTATTCGGGAGGCTGAAAGGTGGATTAAAATTTCAAGGTCGGGCTTGAAAGCTGGCTCAGTGGTTAAGAGTGTTTGCTGACATCTAGAGGATCCCAGTACATACATTAGGCAGTTCACAACTTCTTGTAACACCCTCTTCTGGCCCCTGCAAACATCTGCATAAAACATGACATACACTCTGCACACAGACACGTAACATCCGCAAAGACACACACATAAAATAAAAACAGTGAAAACAAATGGTTAAAAGTTCAAGATCTGTGTAGGTTTAAAGCCAGTACTGTTCAGTATCAAGGCGCAAAGCCCTAGTTTCATCCTATAGCACAACAAAAGGACATGATTATATCAGAAAATATCAAGTCCTGAGGAATAAACAGAACAAAAGATGTTTAAGACCTATATGGGAACTGTTAACAAGAACTATTAAGATGCTGAAGATTCCTAAACTAATAGGAGGGCAGTCATTGATCTTCTTTGGGTAGACTAGCTTTGGAAGGACACGTGTCATTGCCTAGTTGACCCCTGGGCTCACTGAAGCATCACTCAAAGTCCCAGTAGGTCTTTTTGGTAGAATGTGACAAGCTGTTTATGAAAGCCACGAACTTGCCAAACGCAAGGGTTCAGCTTTGGGAGAGGTGAGGCATCTATAGCCAAGCTTGTGTGGCTGATGGGTGATGTGTTTATAAATCTGTTTATTACTTTTGATTTAAAAGTAAGAAAAAGAATGCGGATATAAAATTTCTCAAATAACCCCCCCCCACGCATGTGAACAACAAAATGTAGAGGGTTGCTTTGATAAGTTGGATCAAGGACATTTCATGACAGGGGTGGACTGCGGTGTCTGTACCACTTGCTTTTATATTTTGGTGGGACCTCTAATTGTGGCGCCCATGCCACAAGCAACTCTGAGGTATCAGGAAAAAAAGACTAGACATCCAGCTGTTTGTACTAAGAGAATGCATGTGCTGCCTTTATTGCTGGGAGAATGTGTGTGTGTGTGTGTGTGTGTGTGTGTGTGTCTTTATTGTAAGTGTTAAGAGGTCTCTCTCTTGTAGGAGGGAGGAGCTTTAGATGCAGGTTTACAGCACAGTGGAAAAACCCCAGGTAGAAGAGAGCGTGTTTTCCTCCTGCTGAATGTTGATGTCAGAGGGTCAAGGCCAGGGCAGTAAGCCAGCACTAGAAAACAGGAAGCACTTGGACTGGAGAACAGGTTGCACTTGTAGGCTGACCAGCAACTCACAGAGACCCGGTGGGGGTGGGGCCCAACAGTGGACAAAGGCAGTAAGAACAAGACTAAGACTCCAGGAAAGAGGCAGGCGATGGAGGCTGGTGGCTAAGACAATCATTCTTTGCTTTCTGGGGTCAAAGAACCCTTCCCTGTGTCAGCTTAGTGCCCTCTAGAGTGTTCTGCATCCTCTCTCTCTCTCTCTCTCTCTCTCTCTCTCTCTCTCTCTCTCTCTCTCAAATCAAGCCACATTCCCCTTCACTCTCTCCAAACAAAGTTGATAAACAAAATGTGCTGTGGTTTTATAGTCCTGCTCCAGCCGTGAGCAAACCAGAATCTCTCTAAGCCCCATGCCCAAGGCAACTTCAGATTATAATTCTGCTCTTACTGTTACCAGTGAGCCTAGTGCTACCCTTTGGGTTCTTAGTATCATTAATGAAAAGGATGTAAAAACACATTCAGAGGAAGCTAGTACTGTTTTTTTTATTGGAGTTTGAGAGAAAATCAACAGGACAGGCAAGCTGTAAATTGTAGCAGTTGCCGTAAGAGGGAGAAAGACAAGGGAGGGAAAGGAATTCCATTTTGAGTGAGGGTCCAAGGAAGCTGGAATACTGGGCAATGAAGGTTGTCAAGTAGCTATGTGGTGGAAAGGAAGGTAGGCTTCAGAAAAAAGGTAACCAAGCCCAGAGTGACAGTGAAAGCATGATCCAGCTTCTGGCTAGAATCTGAGAAAGAAATAAAGGAGAGGGACAGACATGCTTGCTGCTTGACTGAGGGGTCTGAGTTCAAAGGGCTTCCCATTCCAGTCTCCTGTGTCCCAGAACAAAGAATTTTATCAGGGGCAGTCAGATAGAAACAAAAATGGAAACTGTTACAGACAGGCAGCCAGAGCTACACAGAGAAACCTTTGTCTCGAAAAACCAAAAGAAAAAAAAGTAACTCTTAAGGCAAAATACATTTTTCACCTCAACTAGGACAAGACATTATCTAGAGCCCAATATGAGTGCCCATGGCTCAGAAACATAGTCTTAGGTCACCCCCAATCCCATGTTTCAATGTGGTAACAGTTCAATGAAATTTTCATAGTAACAGAACAAAAGAAAATCACAAACCAAGGTGCTTTTCACAAGTACGCTGGTAGGTTCATAAGTAGGTGGGTTACAACCTGGAGAAATCTCAGCCATAGGCCTCATAAGCCGCCTATCACAGCACCCTTTGCCTTTTGGATGGTGGAAACTAGGAGTCTGTTTTGCTATTGGAAAGGATTTATCTAATGGTCACACGCTGAGGATAGCTACTAAGGAAGCTAAAGATGGAGTGAGATAATTTGGCTCTGAACTTACAACATTCCAACCTCTCTATGCCATTGAAGTTCTTTTTATCAGTCAGGCAACAGCTGTGACCACAGCTTCTTCCTAGGAATTCTTAGTTTATTAAGAAAGAAAGGGCACTGTGGAGAGTTAATATGGGCTAGGGAACTGGGGGGGAAAAAGCCCAAGAAGCTTTGGGACATGATTTGCACAACCCTTTATAAAACATTTACCTATCACCAACCTCTCCCAAGTTTCTATACCCTGACTTCACTTAAGCAAGCTCTGTTCATTATATGAAGCCCAGGTAGGGGATGGCTTCTAGTCTTTCTCTGTACACTTGTTTCTTTGATATATTGCTTTATGTTGTTAAACATATTCTTTTGTGTGTGTGCATGTGTGCCTGAGTATATGTATGTGTACCACACACATTCAGGAGGCAGCGTTGGATCCCTCCAAACTGGACTTAATGATAGCTGCTAGCTGCCACATGGATGCTGGGAACTAAACCCAAGTCTTCTTCTGAAACTAGTGTTCTTAATCATTTTGGAATTATTTTTTACTATTTTGTGTATGAGTGTTTTTATTTTATGTATGTGTCTTTGCCGGTGTTACATGTCTGTGTGCAGAGTGTATGTCATGTTTTATGCAGATGTTTGCAGGGGCCACTGAGCCAGCTTTCAAGCCCGACCTTGAAATTTTGATCCACCTTTCAGCCTTCAGAGTAGCCAGAATTACAGGCTTTTGCCACTAGGCTTTGTTTTTGAGTGTTTCGTCTGCATGCATGTATGAGCGATATGTGTGTATGCCTGGTGCCTGTGGAAACCAGAAGAGAACATCAAATCTCTAGGGAATGAAGCTACAGATGGGTTTGAGCCATCATGTGGGTGCTGGGAACTGAACTCTGCAAGAGTAACAAGTGCCCTTTACTGCTGATCTGACTCTCCAGCCTTTATTTTATATGTTAGTTTTTGTTTTTTAGTCTCCAGCCCCTTCTTTCCTGGCACATTATCTAGTGAGTTCCTCTTATGTATGGCCCCTGCACATAGGCTAGCTCATGTGATGTGGGAATAGACCCCCAAACTCACAGGAGCAAGGAATCCCATTTATTTTTTCAGATCTGAAGGTCCCTTCCTTTCATGGTGCCATCATGGCTGACTGTAGCTTATGATGCTATACTCTCCCAATAAACTTCTTCTGAAGTGTAGTTCATCCATCGAACCTATAATACCATTTATTATTTAAAACACACCCCAACTATTGGTTCTAGTATATGTATCCCTGGGAATCTGGGGACAGAAGACTAAACAGAAAGTTTACCTACCTAAGTGGGTAGGGAGGCACCAGGGGGGTCAGGATATAGCCATCACCAGGAGACCCCCAAGACCTTGCATTTTTAAGAAAAGAGCCAGGCATTTTTCCAGCTGCAGAGACCATCACTGGATGGGTGCAACACGGCTCCTGGGGAATTAAGGTCGTGGCCTGAGACAGAGTCCATCTTTCAGACATGCCAGCAATCCAGCACTCTGCCACCACAGTGTTGGAACGCCTGTGAGGTCTAGTATTGGAGAAATGCAAAGAGGACAAACCAGAAAACATGCACCATAGGTGAGAGGACTAGCCTGGGCAAGCCAAAGGGGATTAAGACAAGGTGTGGTAGTTTGAAAAGAAAATGGCCCCCAAAGGGAATGGCACTATTAGGAGGTGTAGCTTTGTTGGAGGAAGTGTGTCACTGTGGAGGCAGGCTTTGAGGTCTCATGTGTGCTCAAGCCACACCCAGTGTCTCAGACCACTTCCTGTTGCCTGTGAGTCAAGATATAAGAGCTCTCAGTTCCTCCTCAAGCACCATGTCTGCCTGTACACTGCCAGGTCCCACCATGATAATAATGGACTAAACCTCTGAAAATGTAAGTCACCCAAGTTAAATGTGTTTCCTTTGCAAGAGTTGTCATGGTCATGGTGTCTCTTCATAGCAGTAAAACCCTAAGACTCAGAGGTACTGGCCTTCCTGGGTCCCAGCTACTCCGGGGAGCACAAATGCTGGTTAAGCCCAGGAATGAAAGAAGAAAAGGTCTGTGTGAAGTCTTTGGTGCACATATTTTGTCTCATTCTCAATTTCAGAGATGTTTGTGGGGTGCAGCAGACTCACGAAAATACACATCTGAACTGCCTCCCCACAGTGGCCGTTCAGAGAGACACCCTGGGCTGGTGCCTTTCCAAGTGCATCCGAGAAGCTGACCTAAGCGTGACGAGTGGCACCCAGAAAACCGTTCCAAACCACAAAGCCTTCAAGAACCCACGAGGGAGGATGATCCAGAAAGAAAAGTGTGTTTAAACAATTGGGTGACTCATCAAAGAGAAGGAGCAGTCTTGAAATCTATCATAATAATCAAGACCAGGAAAAAGATAGTGAGTGTTCTAGCGTTGATACTGAGCAAACATTTGTGTCATCGCTCTGACTAGTTCACAGCCAAGTCTGGCTCTCAAACGCAGTCTCTGCGTTTGCAGCAGATGCAAATCGCATCCTTGTTGGCTTTACCCCCTCATTCCTCCTCACAGATTATAAAGAAGGAGATGAGCATTTTTATATCTTTTACACATAAATTCACGGCAGAGAACTCTTCAGAGAGAAGCCGCCTCTGGGTGTCAAAGAAGGCCTCTACTTTCACTGTGAAAACAGACAAGTTGGTGGCCAAGATGGGGCACACCCATGAATGTGGCAAACAGATGTGTTCTGAAAAGTTGCCCATTTGCATGATGCATTATATTTTTTAAACTGACTTGCCTCATAAAAGTAGAGTTATGTTTTCAAAAGGAATAAAGTGCCACAAAGACAAAGACACATTAATAATTCTTTGACCAGATGGCACCAATAATACGCCAAAAACCATAAAAGTATGAAAGGGTCATAAGTTTACTGTACAATAATTTACCTGGCCACTGTTTCTGCCTCCCCAAATGGGGCATGACAAAGGTCACATAAGCAGGTCTCCCGTGCTGCATTGTTAAGTCCCCTTAGAGGTATATACTTCTCTGGGGACATTACATTTTGAATGTTGTAATAAATTTGCAGAAAAGAAGTACCTTAGATTTTCATTTTTGAATTGTAAGTAGACAGTCTGTGTAATTGTCTTCATCTAGTTTGGTTTTGTTTTTATGGTTTGAACTTAAAAACTCCTATGAATTCATTTACCTCAGTTTCTTCATCATTTCCTCACTTTGTCCTTTGTACAGGGGACTGAAATGGCTATTGGCCACTTTCATTTCATACCCAGCTCTTTTGACACTCCTTTAGTCACCATCCCAGCATCCTTTCCACTATCAGCAGCCATAGTACAAGGTTTGGCCTCAGGGGACGTTCTTCCACAAAGATATTTGTTATCCTTTCCAGGCTGGGCAGAGAAATCATCAGGAAGCTTCCTGGGAACAATAGTCATGAACATTGTTCCTTATTGTCAAGTCTATGCATTGGAGACCCACTCTTTCAGGGGGCTACGTCCTTCACGACTGTGTCCTCCCCGATTTTCTTCCTAGCACTTGCTGACATCCGAAATTATGGTATTGACTGACTGGTAAGATCATTTAGCCTCTTTCTACTAAAATGTAGCTTTCACAAGGTTCTCAACACATTATTTATCAAATGAAAGGATAAACATTGGGATGGTGACTTCATTGGGTAGATTAATAAATAGACAAATGGGTGGAAGAATGGATAAATGGATTGGTGAGTAGGTAGATGTGGTGGTAGATGGCTGGATCACTGGGTAGGCGAGTGCATTAATGGATGGATGGTTTAAAAGGTGCATGTATGTGTATATGGATTGGTAGGTGAGTAAATAGATGAATGAGTAGGTGCATGGTTGGGTCACTGGGCGGGTAATTGGGTGAAGGAATGAGTGGATGGGTGGATGCATGCTTAAATGAATGATGGATGGATGGATTAGTGGATGAGTGAATAAATGAACGAATGGATAGATGGATGGATGAGTTGGTTTGTGGCGGAGCACTGATGGGAATTGTCCAAATGGGTTCCAATATCCAGCAGTCCTCTGTCACTAAAGCAAGACTTTGACATAGATAGGGAGAAAACACCTGATCCTTCCACCTGTGCCCATCTGCCAAGGTCAGATTTGAGTGCAAAGTTTTGGAACTCTATCAGAGTGAGGTCAACTAGACTATAAAATTATGATTATCGCTTGTGTCTTGTAGAGAGAGCTTGGGCAGTACCAGGCTAAGATTTATGCCACAGTCCCAATGAGAAGAGGGCACTGTGAGGGTAAAGGAAAGGTGAGAGAAAAAAGCAAAACAAAACAAAAGTCCTGCAGGAGCCAGTGAGGAAAAAGCCAGGTCAACGCTGGGATCAGTTTTGTTCTCCGTTCCCTCCTGGGCTCATGCTCACCCACAATCTGATTGACATGCACAGCTGTGATGTAGGTCATCCACTCTCTTCTCAGGGTTGTCCTGCTCTTTAGAAACATGAATGGTCTTTCAGAGATGTCATTTTGAGTGCTTCTGGCTCAGGGTGCTTTGCAAAATGCTGATTCCTGTTGAAAAGAGATTGTTGTCTTTGCTAGACGTTGTCAGAATGGCAGATATGTGAAAGAGAGAGACAGCAGGGACTGACTGCTCAAATAGACTTTACTAGTGATTGTAATGGTGCGTGCCTATAACCCCAGCACTGGGGAAGAAGGAGGACCCCAAGTCATCTTTGCTTACAAAATTATTTTAAAAATTCTTCTTAAGGTGGGTGCACGTCTTTAATCCCAGCACTGGGAAGGCAGAGGCAGGGTACCTCTCTGTTGTGGGATATTCAACCACGTTGTGAACCCCGAGTTTGCATTTCATTAATTAAATCAAATCAACCTTGGGTCAGGAGGTGGAGCCAGCAACCAGCTGACAGAAAGTAATCACAGAGAGTCAGAGGGAGTCTAGTTACTTTCTGTCAACTAGCTGCTAGCCTCTACCTTTTGACCCAAGGTTGATTTTATCTAATTAATGCAAACACAAGCTCAAAGTTAACAGTGTGATTGAATATCCCGCAACATGTGGTGGTGCTCGCCTTTCATTCCAGCACTGGGAAGGCAGAGGCTGGTAGATCTCTGAGTTTGAGGCCAGCCTGGTCTACAGGTAGATTCCAGAACTTCCAAGCTTAGGCAGTGAAAGAAACTGTGGAAAGCTGATGAAGATGTAATTGAACAAGGGAGCCATGTCCCAATAAACAGAACTTTGTGGCTTTGGCCACATGGTTCTGGCTGTAGAGCCAAGGACAGAAGAAAAGCATTTTTGGAACATTCTTTCATGACAAAGGAAAGCAACTGAGGCCAGGCATGTGTCAGAGAGGTCATTGTGTGAAGCTATGAAGGTGAAGCCTGATTGCCTTGGAGACCCCAAAATGTTGGAGATGCCACAGTGGTGGGATACCCTAATAAGAAAAGCTATCAAAGGGAGTGGAACCAGCCCAAGATAAAGCAGTGTGTTGCAGTCAAAAGAGTTGGAAGGAGTTGGAAATCTAAAGAACATCAGACATGGAAATGTAGAGTTAGGGGTTTGTCCAGCTGGCTTTCGGTCTTGCTTTGGTTCAGTATTTCTTCACTGTGCTCCCTTTAGTCCATTTTGGAATGGTAATGTATGTCCTTTGCCATTATATGTTGGAAGTATGTGATCTGCTGTTTGTTTTTGATTTTATAAGGGACTGCAGTTAAGAGATTGTGTGAATCTCAGAAGAGACTGAACTTTGGAATTTAAAACATTGTTGAGACTGTAATAGACTATGGGGACTTTTGAAGCTGGACAGAATGCATTTTTTTTGAATTATGATATGGCTACAAGCCAGCAAGTGGAATGTGGTGGTTTGAAAGAAAATGGCCCCCAAAGGTGTGGCCTTGTTGGAGCAGGTGTAGTCTTGTTGGAGGAAGTGTGCCACTCTGGAGGCAGACTTTGAGGTCTCAAATATGCTGGCGCCACGCTCAGTAGAGACAGACCACATCCTGTGGTCTGCAAATCAAGATATAGGACCCTGGGCTACTTCTCCAGAACCATGTCTGCTTGTATGCCACTGTGTTACATGAAAAGACACTATGATCATGGCAACTCTTACAAAGAAAGAACATTTAATTGGGGTGGCTTGCATTTTCAGAGGTTTAGTCCATTATCATCATGGTGTGACATATTTGAGACCTCAAAGCCTGCCTCAAACTTAGCTGGGTGGTAGCTTGCCCTAAGGTCATCACTCACTTTAGTCCATTTCTTTCTTTCTTTTTTTTGTTTTGTTTTATGAGACAGGTTTTCTCTGCATTGTTTTGGAGGCTGTCGGTCCAGCCCAGCCTGGAACTCACAGAGATCCGCCTGCTTTTGCCTCCCGAGTGCTGGGATTAAAGGCATGCGCCACCACCTCCTGGCAGAGACCTTATCTTTAAAAATCGAGAATAAACAAGAAAAATAAAATAAATAAATTGCCCTATAGTGCCATTAGCAGGATTAAACACTAATTTAACAAACTCATTGTTTGCTGATAAAAAGGAAATGGTCAATATCACATCAACTCCTATTAGAGTTCTATTTCCCTTTTTGACTGTTAAAATAAAAAAATAACATTTTGTTGTGCCCACAAAACCTATAAATCATAATTTCTGACATGGCCAATTTCTTGTTTTTATTGGTCAGTAAAAATACTTGGAACACAAGAAAAGGTGATTTTCTTAAAAAGGGATTTAAAATATTTTAATGTTATATGATTTCTCCTGGAACTCTAATTTTATAGACTAATAAAACCCATTAAAGTATTGTTCATGAACAAGGGTTAAAAGTACTTTAAATATTTAAGACCATTCTTTCTTAAAAAATTAGAGGCAGTCATTCCACACAAAAGTATAGCTATAAGGTCAAATTGGTCAATAGGAAAGAAATATACAGTAAAGGATAATTGATTATTTTAAATACTCCATACGAAAGACATGTTTTATAGAATTAAAAAAAATAAACCTGTTAGACATAGCAGGAAAGACAGTCAATCTAGTTTTAAAAATACATAATGGGACCCCCACCTAATGCGATTCCGCTCAAACAGGGTCTAGCCAGCCACCCCTGCCTGATGCCTTTCTGTGCCAGGCATGTGGGCCTTGCTATGATAAAGAAATATGTGGTAGAGAAATGGGAGAGACAGAGAAGCAGAATGGGTCTATTTTGATGCTCATGTCCCATGGAAGGTCACCTGGGAGCCTGGAGTCTTGGCTGCAACCTGTGGCCGTGCTGGTGTTCAGGGGCCATAGCTGCTGCCAGAGACATCCTAATCTGGAGCTAGGATGTTGACCAGGACCAGATGCTGCCTGGGGCCATGTCTATGGCCTGTGTCACCTCAGGGGGCCTTGATGAAATCAGAGGGCCTTGCTGAGCCAGCCCTGCTCTTCATTGGCCCTGGAAAAACTGGTCTTGCCTTTCCACTGGACACTACCACAAGAGAGCTGGGACCTGCACTCTGGAGAGACGTCCCCACCCCCATAGATGAGGTTGAAGGACTGAGTGCAGGCAAGTAGGGGAGCTGACTCCACCCCTTCGCCCGAGGCTGATGACCCCAGTAGCCTGGACTGACCAGCTTGGCTACCACCCAGGTCCTAGCATACCCCATCTGGGACCTGCTGGAGCTAGTGAAAGGATTGGTCTTGTGGAACGATACCTACAAGATCTCTAAAACTCAGGACGGCCACGGGATATCCCAGAGGAGTTCAGGTGAGGATCCATTGAGGATGGTGTATCAGAAGCCAGGGGCCTTGAACCAGACCAGTGACTCATTACAATGAACATTTACCAGAGAAACCGATGGGACAAAGGGGTATTCTATATGGCGCACTGAAGCCTCCAGTGCCACCAGGATGAATGGAGAGGCAGAATAGAAGACGCAAAGAGATTTTTCTATTGTTTTTGTTTTGGGTTCTTTTGTTTGTTTGCTTGCTTGCTTTATTTTGTTTTCTTTTGTTGGGGTGTGGCAGGGATGAGGGGAGGATATGGGGAGACCTGGAGGTGAGCAGAATTTGGGTGAATGATGTGAAACTCCCAAAGAGTCAACATAGAAGTTTCTAAAAAAGATTCTACTTTAGCAGGGTGGTGGTGGTGCACGACTTTAATCCCAGCACTCAGGAGGCAGAGGCAGGTGGATCTCTGTGAGTTTGAGACCAGCCTGGTATACAAGAGCTAGTTCCAGGACAGCCTCCAAAGCCACAGAGAAACCCTGTCTTGAAAAACAAAAAACAAACACAAAAACAAAAATCTACTTTATGAAAAGAAACGGCTTTACAATTCATAAAAAGTATGGAGCCTTTCAATTAATCTATTAAAGTCATTCCATCTTTAAAAAAATACATAATGGGGTATACCAGAGAGAAGGCCCAGAGGTGACTTTCTTTTTTTCCAGAGGCTTGGAGTTCAGTTCCAGGCACCCAGGGTGACTTCCTCAGCCGCTCTTCTAAAAACCGCTTTGCTGTTTTCTCAGCCTTATCTACATCAGAGCCTAGGAATGAGCTGTCCTAGCAATTGGGGACTTGAAATAACATTTGCAATAGTGTTTGGCCCTCCATATGCACACAATGTGATGCTTGACTGGCAGGAAATGCTGAAGCACAGTTTTCAAACGGAAGCCACGCCTCCCTTGAGCCTTGCACAACTGGAACTCCAGTGATTGTGAAGTGGTTAGATCGCTGCAGGCCAAATACCTTGAGCTAGCTCAGCCTCTTCAACAGCCATCCGTCACCCTCCTCTGCCTGCGACTGACTTGGTGAATAGTAGGTTTTGGAGTGTGTGAATAGGCCCCTAACTTCCATCTATCTGAGGATGTCCTCAGATAGCATTGGAGGCCTGCAGCAGAGATTTCTCCACTTTATTCTAACCCACCTCTCTGGTGTTTCCACCAATGTGGGACTTTGTCTTTGTTCTGTTACTATAAATGCTTTGTGAAACTATTACCATATTGGAACATAGAACTGGGGTGACTTAAATCTTGTGTTCCAGGGCCACAGCCATTCATCTTTGGCTCCAGAATAATCTGTTTTCTTATTCCCACTCACCTTCTGTTTTGTTTGAGACAGGGTCTCTCCCTTGTTCACTGGGCCTAGGTTAGCTGTCCCAACAGCTCCTGGAGGTTTCCTGTCTCTGTCAGAGCACTCGGGTGGCAGATGCATGCCCTCCTCCAAACAGCTTTTGTGTGGGTTCTTGGTGTCAGATCTCAGTTCCCAGGGCTTGCATGACTGAACCATCCCTCCAGTAGGTGAGTGGTGGTAGTGCCTTGACAAGAATGGCCACCATAGGCGTATATATTTGAGTGTTTAGTCATCAGGAGTGGCTCTATTTGAGAAGGATTAGAAGGATTAAGATGTGTGACCTCATTGGAGAAGGTCTGTCACTCAGGTGGAACTTGAGTTTTAAAAGCCATGGCAGGGTCAGGCTCCTCTCTTCTCTCCTCTCCCTTCCCCTCCCCTCCCTTCTCCCCTACTCCTCTTTCTTCTTCTTCTTCTTCTTCTTCTTCTTCTTCTTCTTCTTCTTCTTCTTCTTCTTCTTCTTCCTCCTCCTCCTCCTCCTCCTCCTCCTCCTCCTCCTCTCTCTCTCTCTCTCTCTCTCTCTCTCTCTCTCTCTCTCACTCTCTCTCTCTCCCTCTCTCTCTCTCTCCCTCTCTCCCTCCTTCCCTCCCTCTCTCCAGCATCATGAGGGCTGACATGCTCCCCATCACAATGATACACACCAAGCCTTTGAAGCTGTAGGCAAGCCCCCATTTAATGTTTTCTTTTACAGGTTGTCTTGGTAATGCTGTCTCTTTAAGCAATAGAACAGCTAGTAGACAGTTGCATTTTCACAAACATTTTGTTTGGAGGGGCAGGGCCTTGACATGTAACCCAGAAACAAAAGGCTGCACACATACATGATACAAAGCATTGTTGAAAAGACACAAAGAACTGTTTTTTGGGTTTTTTTGTTTTTTTGAGACAGGGTTTTTCTGTATAGCCTTGGCTGTCCTGGAACTCACGCTATAGACCAGATTGGCCTTGAACTCACAGAGATCTGCCTGCCTCTGTTTCCCAAGTGCTGGGGTTAAAGGCATGTGCCATCCCCACCCCATCCCCAGCCTTATACAGGGAACTTTTAAGCTCAACAGTGAGACAGGTCAATTTAAACAATTGACAACCCCCCTAAAAACCCAAACACCTCGCCAAAGAAGATACTCAGACTTAAGAAACATATGGAAAATATGCAAATGTCAGCTGAGGTCTGAAGGCTTGAGACCACCCATTTCCAATCTAGTGAAATCCTAACCCTTAAGCTTGTGTGGTAGGGAGTGGGACCTTGCAGAGGTGATCAAGCTGGAAGAGGTGAGCTCTTATAAATGGAATTAGTATATTTTTGTGATTTTGCAATTTTTTTTGTCATTGTTGTGTTTTGTCTTTTGAGACCTGGTTTCTCCATGTAGCCCTGGTTCTCCTGGAACTCACTCTGTAGGCCAGGCTGGCCTTGAACTCACAGAGATCCTTTTTCCTCCATCTCCCATGTGCCACCGCTGCGCTATGATTTTGCTTTTTTTTGAGGGGCTGGGAACCAAATGTGTTAGGGAAGAGCTCTACCACCGGGCCATTCTGCTGCAACCCTGCTGCTATTTAAAGAGTCCTCAGAAGCCCCTCCCCCTTTCAGACAAAGGAAGTTGGAGGGAAAAGATGTCCGACCATGATGTAACTCTGCTCACGCTTGGATTCTAACTTGAAGTTTCCAGAACTGTGATAAAATAGCCTTTTTCGTGTTTTTTGGGCCGTCCGCTGCACTTAGTTTTTTTGTCACGACTAACAATTTCCCAGGACTTGCAAAGCCATGGGACTTCAGCCTCCATTTGTTCCCGAAGGAAGAGTCCCTTGGTTGTGAAATACGCAGCATTTGCGTTCCCCTGTGCATGTTCAGATGAGACGAAAGCTTAAGTTCAGAAAGCCAGCTGGTGATAGCATGCATATACATACATACATACATACACACACACACACACACACACACACATATATATATCCCAGAAAGAAACGACTGGACACAGCGGTATATCCAGTTGATGGAGAATTACTGAACCCTGGAGTGAAACTTGTTTCCTGCTATCCCAGGGGACCCAGGAAACCCAGCCACGCGTTCCTAAGGAAGGAACCTGGGACGGTTTCTTGTTGCTGACATTCTGGATAGGGCAAAAACCAGTGGCCGAGGTCACATCAGGGATTCGAGGGCCCGGGGAAGGCAGGGTGCCAAGGGCGTCTGTCTGCAGAGAGAGAGGAACTGCTCCCCCGCGGCCCCGAGGTGGCAGGGGTGCATGGTCATCCCGTGTCCAAACCCGTGGGATGTCCGGGTGGACCGCGAGCACCTGCTTGAGGAGATAACACCCGCAGTGCAGCTCGCGGGCTCTAACAAACAGATCTCTGTGCAGTGAAGGCTAAACTCAGGCGGCAGAGAGGCCGCTGGAAACCTTGTATCCTCTGCTTGGTTTTTCTCGGGAGTCCCAAGCCCCTCTAAAAATTAGCTCTACAAAGAGTCCTTTGGAGTCTGTTTAAGAACGAAAAGGCCCAGAGAGGGGGAAATGCGTTTAAATCGCAGCTGAGGGCCGAGCGGGCAGTTTCACGAGTTTTAAAAGAACTTTTACTAAAGAGACAGGGAAGAAAGGAATCCTCTTTTCCAAACGAGATAAGCCACAGGCCCAGGCCCAGGCCTTCGTGTCCCTTGAAGGGACGGCGACCCAGGGACATAGGGCACCTCAAGGCAGCACACAGGAGGCAGAGGGGCACGTGCGTGCAGGCAGCGAGCAGCGCATGCGTCCCGGGGGGGCATCAGGACGCATGCGCGGCTGGGGGCCTGGTTGACTCAGCGCCTGAGCCTCCTGCGTTTCAGGGCTGATGGGAGATATGCAAATGAGCTGGAGCATCATGGGTATTGGCCCTTTATAAGGCCGCGATGCTGTGGCTAGGAGAGCTTCAGTGTGGGTCCGGCGTCCATTAGCAGGCTTGCTGGGAGCTCTGTGAGGAAGAAGGTGAGGATGGGTCGGGCTGAGGGGGTGACTGGGACTGGGTGGGTGGCATGGCCTGCACTGGGGGGGCGGGGGCTGGGGCTGGGGTTGGGTGGGAGCGTGGTGGGCAGAGGGGAGACCCTGCTTTAGGCTTCCAGGCCTCCTTCAGTTGGTAGGCGGGGCCCGAGTGTGAGGTTGGGGCCTTGAGCCCCAGGAAGCTGCTGAAGCTGGGGGAGTCGGCTCAAGGTGAGCAGTGAGCGCCTCCCCCGGGGGGGGGGGCGGGAGGAGTGGCTGAGCCCCAACTCTCCTCCCCTCAGTGGTCTAAGCAGCCAGCCTGCCCAGCAGGGGGCACCAGGCCTCATTTTCTCTGCCTTTCTAGCTCCCCAGACACTGGAGCAAGTGTGAAGCTGGAGAACCTTCTGGAATCTCAAGGCTGTCCACTCCTCCAAGGAGGTGTCCATTGAATCGGCTCCTGGTTTTCACCCCCCTCCCCCCGCTACCCCGTGTCCTGGAGCCCAAAGCGCCCTAGACCTCCTGCTGCATCCCGTTTTCTCCTGTTTCTCCCGCCTGTCCCTAGCATCACAAAGGTCCCCAGACCCTGACCTCCTGGGACCACCAAGCGAGGCTTCCTCTCTCTGTCCAGTCATCTACAGGCAAGCTTTTTTGGTCATGTGTCCCCCAGTCAACGTCCGCCACGGGGCCAAGGGCATGTCCTGCCTCTATGCGGCCTGGCTATACCAGCTTGTCCATGGAGACCAGATGCAGATCTGCTATGCTTGCTTCAAGGCAGCTTTCCTGGTTGTCAAAAACATGCTGGAGATGGGAGACTGGGAAGAGGAAGAAGAGTGGGGTGCTGAGCCCATGGAACTCTCCGAGGCAGGGTCTGAGCCGGAGGAGTGGCCCGGGCTCAGCTTGGGAGAGGGTCAAGGGCATCCGCCTCATGGCACCTCTGTTTCTACTGGTCCTGGCATCCTGACTCAAGGCCCTATAGGCACGGAGGGGATAGTACTGGGACCCCAGCCTGTGCCCACTGAGCTGGGGCCTCAGGAAGCTGTACCCCTGGATCTGGGCCCGGAGGATGCTGATTGGATCCAGTCCCTCCCCTGGAGATTCGATGGTCTTTCTCCCTGCTCCCACTGGCTCATCCCCCCTATGTCCTGGTGGGAAGTTTTCAATGTGACCCCGTCTCCTGGGCAACCCATATTGCTGGAGTTGAGCCCCATCTGGCCCATGGATCCGTTGGAAGCAGAAGCCTGGTTGGTAGACCTGAAGTTCGTCTTCTTGTTGGGTGGCTTCGATGCCATCTGCTACCTGCTGTCCATGACTCCCTGCTGGGCTGTGAGAACCCGGGTCCAGCGCTGGCAGGTGTTGCTGGACTCTGGTGAGGTGAGGGTGGCCCAGCTGCAGAATGTACCTGAACAGCAGGACCTGCACCGCTGGCGGCTAAGCATCTTGGAGTCCTCGGAGCTGGGTGTGGAGCTGGTGCCTGCTGATTGCAGCCTGCTGAAGGGAGGTTTCAAGGTACACTCCTACCTGCCCTGGCACAATAGCACCCCAGAGGTCTGGAGCAGGGAGCCAGGGGAGAGGCTGCTTGTCGTAGAAGTTGTGTCTTTGAGGGAGCTGCCCTGTTTCCGCTCCCCTTCCCCTGATTCACACAACTGAGGGGGCTCAGGCAGCCCCCATTGTCCTTCCTGTCCCAGGGCTCCAGGGACTGTGAAGTGCCAGAGGTTGCCTGTCTTCAGCCACAGGTCCAGCAAGATGTTCATCATCTTGAGGGGAGGGTCCAGAGCAGCCTAGGGGTGGGGCCTCAGGGAAACCTGGTTTAGTTGTCTTCGGTTGACTGTTCGGTGTTTGGAAGGTAAGCCCCAGCTTCAAGTGCAGGGGGCGAGGACTTTTGTATCGAGGTATAGGTGGGGACACTGGATGTGGTTGACCCATGCATGTCCTGCACTAGGCTTCTGAGGGACCACAAGTCCTGGTTTAAGAGTTGACTGCTTATGCTGGCTGTTTTGTTTCTGCCCTACGCATGTTACTGTTTAATAAAGTTGTCATCATTTTCAAAGAAGCCGTTTTCGGTCTCTTCATTGGGTGCTGATGGGTTGCTCACCTCTCTCCTGGGTGAGTAGCTTTATGGACTTTGTAGAAGCCTGTCTTTGTGGGGCTTCAGTCAGATCCAGCCCACTTGGCTGGTTCGTGCCTGAGAGGGGGAGTGTGGTTTGAGAAAGGGCAGATAAAAATACTAAGGAAAAGACAGACACAGGATAGAATCAAGAAGACAATCCAGTGAATACTGAATACCCCAAGTTTATTCTTCACCATTCTTAAATACCCCAACCAAAAAAAAAAAAAAGGAAAATGGCAAAAGACATCTTTATCAAGATAACAAGGAAGAAACAGACTTCCTTAATTCTCCAAACACCTTAGACTAAATCTCTTTATTTAGATAAGACATCCAAGCCTAAGATCAAACATCCTACAGTAGCCATACCTTAGTCCTTTAGGTCTTACGTTTAACCTTGGAAGAGTAAGCATAGTTTTGATCTGAACTCTGTTACCTTTAGTCAAGATGAAGTGGAGCCATTTCTGTGGGCCCCAACAAGACTTAAGATCCCACAGAGCTGGGACAGAGACATTGGGTTCTGGTCTGTTTTCTGGGTCACGTGGTCTCAAGTGTATCAGCCACATCTTCATAACCCAAATGTGCAGGTCTTAAAATAGGGACAGTTTCCTGTGTGGAAGAGTAGTGTCTCATCTCACAGATTGACAGGAGGCAGTACAGGCATTAGGAGTTTAAGGTCACCCTTATCTGCATACTGAATTTGAAGATAGCCAGTCTCAAAAATACAAAGTCAAAAAAGAAAGACAAAAGGCTTTTTCCTTTTGTGGTGTTTTGTTTTTGTTGTTGTTTTTCCTAGCAACAAGAATCAACACTACCTGACACATGCTGGGCCAGAATTTCTGAAGCATATGTCTTGTACTGTATTTTCTGGAATGTGGTCTCACTGTGAAGCCCGAGCCAGTCTTGAACTGTGGGCTGTCTTCTTCCTGCCTCAGCTTCCCTAGCGCTTGACCACCATGTTTCTGGAGGGAAATAATCACTTGTTAATTATCCTGGAGTTGAATACATGAACCTAACCTAGGAATTCTGGGTAAATGGTCCCTGTGCTGTAAGATGGGGTACGTGGTATGGAGTCCTGAGTAGCCCTACTTTTCCCACCCACTGAGATCCACCTGTGTGCTCTGGTCATCTCTTGTCATTTATATGTGTTGAGACTGACATTTATTTCCATTTGCTTTTTGTATGGATATGGATGTGTGTGTGTGTGTGTGTGTGTGTGTGTGTGTGTGTGTGTGTGTGTGTATGCCCTGTCTGTCGCTGCCTGTGGAGGTGAGAAGAAGGCATTGGATCTGGTGGAGCTAGAGTTAATAAGACAGTTGTGAGTCACCTGACCTGGGTGCCTGAGAGCCAAACTCTTGATCCCCTGAAAAAGCATTGTGGTGGTTTGAATGTGACATCCTCCATAGTTTCCAGCATTTAAATACATGGCCCCCAGTTGGTGGCACTGTTTCAGAAGGCTGAAGAGGCGTGGTCTTGCTGGAGGAAGCATGTCACTGGAGGCAGTAAAAAGACTCGAGAGTGAAAAGATTAGTGTCATTCTGAGTTCTCCCTCCCCCTCTCCTTCCCTCTCCTCCCTCCCCCTCTCCCTTTCCCTCTCCCCCTCCCTCGCCCTTTCTCTCTCTCCCCTTCCTGCTTGCTGGTGGATGTGAATTCTCAGTTTGTGTTCTGGCCAACATCTTTCTAGGTGCTATGCCTTTCTGCCAACAAGGACTCCTTCTGGAACCATAAGCCCAAATAAGTCCTGTAAGTTGCCCTGGTCACAGTGTTTTATCATATCGATAAAAGAGTAACTAATACAAGCAGCAGTTGCTGTCAACTGCAGAGCCATGTGTTTAATGGAGAATGGAGCCCCAAGCCTCAAGCACACTAGGCAAGTACTCTGTCACTTAAGTAGTATCGCTGCTCTTTCTGCCTTTTACTTTGAAACAGGATCTTATTAAAGCTGATCTTGACTTCACTCTTTAACCCAGACCAGCTTCAAACTTTCAAGCTAGGACTTGAGGCCTCAGCCATTAGTCTTGGCTGAGACAACCCTTCAAAAATAAATTCAGGTGTCATTTGCTTGAATCAACTACTTCCTGTCAATTTTTTAAAGATTTTTTTTGAGACAGGGATTTTCTGTGTAGCTCTGGCTGTCCTGGAACTAGCTCTTGTAGACCAGGCTGGGCTCAAATTCACAGAGATCCTCCTGTTTCTGCCTCCTGTGTGCTGGGATTAAAGGTGTGCACCACCATACCCAGCTGAGGTTTTGTTTTTATTTCACGTGTATGTGTATCAGTATATTGCCTACATGCATGTACTGCCCACAGAAGCCAGAAGAGGGTATCAGATCTCCCTGGAACTGGAGTTACAGATAATTGACAGTGGCCATGTGGCAACAAGGGCTCTTAACCACTGAGACATCTCTCCAGCCCCTCACTATCAATATTTAGAAAGCAGATCAGAGAGGAGATCTGACCTGACTAGATTGGAAATTATATAGGTGGAGAGTGGTCACTGTTCTAGAGAGTTCTGGAAGTCTGCTGCCTTTGGGGTTTGGAGTTCTGAAACCTCTTATCACCCCAGGGTTTTTGACCTTGGAATCACTGGAGGAATTCAGGCACTATTTCCCTCCCAACCTTCTTCTGCCTCCCCACACAGCAGATCACAAAGCCAGAGGTAAGGCGAGCTCTGTCTTGGTAATCAGCAGCCATATGCAGGCCCCTGTGTGTCAACTGCCCATATAAGCCTGTGGTAATAGGTAATGCCGATCCCGGGCTCTAGCAGTGACAATGAGTGTAGCCACCATATCCCAAACCAGACCACTATAGCAGAGTCAGGGTTAGGTGTCTAGTCAGATGCTGGGACTATTTTTTGACCACTTCATCACCCTCCAAAATGGCATCTGTTGTCTTAAAAAAGACAAAAATGTCAGCCACATTCAAGAATTAACTATTCTGGGCAAATCAGACCCATGCCAGCCATCCTACCCTTAGTCACTGGCTGTCTGCCCTCCCGGTCCATCATTCTAGTGACAGACAGTACTGCACACAATGAATAACACATATCTGGGCTGAAAATAGCTTTAGATACTTTTATTTAGCATCCTTATTTTGAGCTTTCAACAAAACCAAAGATGTGAAGCTGGGTGGTTACAATTGTGGGCTGCCTGGGAATGTGGGCACCTACCTGTCTTGGAATGATGGAGGTTGAAAGGCATCCTGACAGTTCTAAAGGTATTCTTAAAATCTCTAGACTCTCAGTGTGCCCCCACTGTCCTGGTCAGTCAGGGCCCCAGTTGAGGATCCCATGAGAGACCTCTAGAGGCCACTGGCAGGCACCCAAAATGCCCCCCCTAAACTATCACATCACCCTTCTTCAATCACGGCCTCTGGTGAGTGGTCAGATGTCTAGGGGTCTTGTTCAGTTGCCCTTTCTTTCCCAGGGAAGACAGGACCCTGTACACCCTGGCCCAGGCACAGAACCCTGTGTTCAGGATGGGTGTGGGCATGACAGACTTGAGCCAAAAACCCATTCCTGAATCCAGCAGCGCTGAGTGTTTGGTTTAAACAGGCACAGTTGGAGTATACTGGCCCCCAAAGTCAGGACCAAGGCCAGCCCACACATCTGGTGGAGAAAAGATTGTGGAAACTTACTGCTCCTGGGAGCACTTGGCTACTCCTGCTGGCTTGGAGCAGTTGCTTGGAATCCTGGGATCTTCGAGAGTGTCCAGAAGCCCACCACCCCCATGGTAGGACCGATTTTCAGGATGGGCCTCCTTGAAACTTTCTGCTTGCCAGTGGCACAACCTAGTGGTCACTTTATGCTGATCAGGCTCGGGTGTATCCTGTCCTTAGTCGGTCTCTTAGGAAGAAATGAGAACCAACTGCCAGTCCCTTAAAATTCCCTGTGACCTCCTGCCCTCTGCTGCCTTCAGCCCTTGATTTGGGATCAAAGTTGGTACACCTTTTTGTGTCCCAGGTCCTCTTCTAGCTGTCTCTGACTGGTGGCTAGGCCAAAGACAAGGGACCTTTTCCAAGTCATCCTACCATGAGCCCTCCCTCCACTTTAACCTACTCCACCTTTGGCAAGAGAGTAGTAAGTCCTGGAGACTGAAACACCAAGATTAACATGAAAAAAGACAGCTTGCAGAGAAAGACTTCGTGCAATAAACTGAGCAAGTTCAGGCCCATTTACATGAGTAAACAGAGTATGTACAAGAAAAGCCCGGGGCATACAGATGTGAGAACGGCAGGTGCTATGTAATGGTCCGTAAAGGATTGTGTTCTTTAACACCCAGGGTTCATGGGTTCCTTCCCCAGTACACCCGCTCCTTGTCTCTGGAATGCTTCCTTCCTTCCTTCCTTCCTTCCTTCCTTCCTTCCTTCCTTCCTTCTTTTTTATTTTGTCAAATACAAATAGACTAAATATTAAAACTATAATTCTTGCTTGATACCTGTTTTGGTATATGTAATTTTACTATGTTAAAGTGAAAACCTTCCTTTTTAATAAGACAGAAAAGGGAAGAGGATATGGGATGTCCTGTATACTGTGAATATGTGTTGCTTTAATTATTTATTTTTATTTTTATTTATTTATTTTTTTGGTTTGTCAAGACCTCTGTGTAGCCGTTGTCTCAAAATCACAGATATACAACTGCCTCTGCCACCACTACAAAGCTGTGTGTGTGTGTGTGTGTGTGTGTGTGTGTGTGTGTGTTAATTTGAGACGGGGTGTCTCTGTGTAGCCTTGGCTGTCTTGTAAACCATGCCTTTAATCCCAGCACTTGGGAGGCAGAGGCAGGCAGATCTCTGTGAGTTCGATGCCAGCCTGGTCTACAAGAGCTAGTCCAGGACAGCCTCCAAAGCCATAGAGAAACCCTGTCTCGAAAAAAAACAAAAAAAAAAAAAAAAGAAAGAAAAAAAGAAAACGAAATCATCATCTTCTTTGAAAATATGATTCATGGA